TGTCATGAAATCGATAGTCTTTTTTTTTTTAGGGCGACAACATCCGATTTTCAAAGCTTTTGATTTCGAGTTTTCATAGAGCTGTTACTCCTTTGACAGATACTGAAATAGTATATTATTTAAATATATGGCCTGTAAGCCCTCATCTGATTTATAATTCATCTTTTAATTTGTTTACTCCGGACAAGTAAACCATGGATATGAATTTTTTTTTCCATTTTCGTGGGTCACCTCCTGCAACCACACAAGAACCAAATATTTCAAGGGTGAGTGTGTTTTTGTCCAATCTCGGTACTGTCAAAAAGTAGTGGTGGGTTAAGAATTTTCTAGCCGGGGTGAGGAGGGGGGGGGGGGGGGGGGGTTAGGAGAGGGCATGTTTTTAAATGAAAATCCCTGAAATGGATGAAAAACAATTCTCACTTCTTCTAACATTATCCTTGTGGCTTTTCCTTGAGATTAAGTCAAATTTCCTTTCATATACTTCATTGAGATATTGTGTTGTAAACAAACTAACTGTACAAATATAAAAGAAATATAAGGAATAATGAGGGTCCTAGCTATAAAAAAAAAAAAAGGAGAAATGCTTCATTGCAACCATCATAGTTTGGTGAGTTATTGTTATTTATGTTCAAACATTGTCAGATTTTGTGTATGTTCTCTTACGCTCTTGGTATTTAAAAATAAAATAAAAAGGTGTCAATCAGCAATATCATTTTGTATTATTTTCCCTTAGCATTTCAATTAAATGCAAGTGCATCGCAACCAGATACATAGCTTATTTCCTTATGTCCTATCATATCTTTGTTGTCCCTCTGATTTATTTAAAATTTTGCTTATCAAGAGGGGAGAGGAACCCCTCCCCCCCCCCCCCCCCTCAGCACCTCTGCCACGGGTTACAAAGGAAAAAAGGAAAATTATCCTCCAAATGATCCTGCAACATAAACACAATGGATGAGCATATTCATTCGCAGAACAGCAACAACCATAACAGAAATTACACAGTACATACATTCCAATACATATGCAACTACAGTTTAATAATCAATCAGCAACGGCGTACCTACCATCAAAAATGGACGAGCTCAGGTAAATACACACTTTCTCTCCCTTACCCACATTGAAAATCAAAAACTTGAGAGAAAATTTAGAATGAAAGATAGTAGAAGATAGAAAACATAAAAGGGCCAGGCAACATAGAACGAACACAATATGACATCCTTCCTTCACTTCATAACCTTGTTCTCTAACAGTTTATCTACATTATAAGACTGATTACCATCAACAGCTGGACCCAAGCTACGCCCCTTCACATGCACACTCATATGAATACAAAAATAAACAAAGTTTGTTATCATTCATCGATATCAAAGCCACAGACATACATTTCACCAATGCCATTCAGGTATTTCTTCCAAGGTTCATTGAAGAATGAAATCAAAATGTTGACACATGATTTTGGTTCGTTCACCTTGAAATCTAACGACGTACATAATTGTCAAGAGAATCCATCAAATGTAAACAGGTACATTGCATTGTTTTAATCATGGGTTTTTATGACACCAATTTGAAAATTCTTTACTTAATCAAACTGAGCATTCTATGTAGCAGAGAAAAAACAAAACAAAACAAAGTGCAGGTTTTATTATAGATAATATAATTTTAGAAAAATATCTCTATTTCAATACATAGACTTAATTTTGTATGATGGTTATAAATGAGATGATACACCCACAAATTGAGACCTTTGTAACAACAACTTCTCACGTTATCCTTAGTCATTTGAATGATAAGCATCTTATATTTAAATCAGTAGGTTCCGAAATGCATCAATTCACTTCTTTGTAGAGAGGAAGTATAAGAGCATGACTGTGTCAATGTTTGCATGGTATACCCAAGCTTGTCGAATTTTAGCGATAATAAACAAGCATGGCATCATAATGACACAGGATAAAGTGTTCAAATGGTTTTCAAAATGCTTTATGAAACATATATGTAATCAGAACTGTTAACAAATGAAAGTTCATATGCTCATGAAAAACTACGTGTAGCAGCAGATATCATATTAAGCAACTTCTCTTTAAGTTTGGCATATTCCAATCAGTTTTTTGAAGGTTGATAAACAACCAGTGTATAGTCCATTATAGAGTTACACTACATAAGATCAAAATGATACATTTAAATTATATCATTCAAACAAATAATCTTTAATAATCAAAGTGCCAATTAAAGGAAAATAATAATGTCGCTTTTTTGTCGGAACCCGTTGATGACGACGCCTAATCCATGCTTGCCATGAAAGGGCCCATGACATCGAAATACAAGTGTATTCCTGTTGGTGTGTAGTCCTGCATACATCTCATATTTTGATATATAAACTTTTGAATTTGTTTCACAGATTTTTAAATATATTTTAAAATATTTGTTTTTCAAACTTGCTAAGCTCCAGGCTGAAAGGCAGACTTGTCGGTGAAATCGATAGAACAGTTTCGGGTGATATTTCTTACAATTTTGAGTTCGAGAGCAAGTGTGAAGGTGGGCAACATGGCAAATTTGCTTCTGTATAATATTTTACATATTATTATGCCAAAGAAACGTGGTCGCATTTGACGAAACACGAACATGCACAATTTCAGTGGTGATTTCATAGTTTAATGGTATCAAATTTTAGATGTTCCTTTAAGCGCAACTCTGCTCCTATTATCCGCTTCAAGAATTAAGACAGTGTATGTCACTGACCTTGTACAATGTCTGGTTGTTTTCACGAAACACTCGTCAATTTTTAAATTCGACCCTCTTCATCAAACTTGTCATATTACGTACTGCTTTGAAAATATGCTGGTTTACTTGTCAAGAAAATCCACTTTACTGAAATCCAGATAAAACTTCGGACGTTGCCATTGGACCTCATATTTCAGACCTCTTCAAGACATGAAGGGATATAGAAAGTGAAATGAGTGTGTGTGTGTGTTGTTTGAGTGTGTGTGTGAGAGAGAGAGAGAGAGAAAGAGAGAGGAGAGAGAGGGAGAGATAGAGGGAGTGGGATGGTGTATTTCGGGAGGGGGGGGGGCGGTGGTGGGCATTACGGTACGACAGAACGATTTTTTTATATTAAAAAGAAAATAATTTCATATGTACGCCACGGGACCAGTACGACAGTCCTCCTTATAATGTTCATAATTTATGGTGGTTTTTGTTGTCAATAAGTTTTAAAGAATGATTTTGTTTTTTAAATCATAAAGCGCTTAGAAACAGCATTATGCGGTATACAGATGTGATTATTATTTATATTATTATTATTATTATTATTATTATTATTATTATTATTATTATTATTATTATTATTATTATTATTATTTTTGTTATTATTATCATTATTACTATTAGAAGAGCCAAGGTAAATTTAAGGATCATGCGAATGAATTACAGTACATTGCAAACAATAGACGTATATCCATCCATTGACACCTTGCCAAATGTTAAGGAATAGTTTAGTTCAATGGGCCATTTGTGTAATGTAATCAAATTTAATGCGCAAATCTTTCTAATGTACCTCCTCACAAATTATTTCATCCACCTGTTACAAATAATTGTTTTTCAAAAGTCAGAATGCGAATTGCATACATTCCATATTGATAGGTAGGACAGGCGATACTGTTTGTCCTACCTAGCAACAATAAATGTGCACTGTCGCTCATATAGTTGGAATATAATGAGAATTAATGCCTCACAAAAGGGCACTAATATACCACATCGACACGGTTTTGATCCTGGGACCTCACAGTTACGAGGCCATTGCTTTACCACTGAACCATGATTGTACGCAGCGGGGGCTAGGGTACGGGGCAGTTCCCACAAATAAAATAAAGACAAAGAAAATGCAATAAATTATCAATAATTCATAGAATCCCCCCCCCCCCCCACGATCCCCAACAGAAAAAAATCTTCTGTGTGCCCATGCCTTGAGCCATAATCCATGGATTTTTGTTTATGTTGGGGACCGGGGTAGAATGCAATAAATTATTGATTATTTAGTGCATTTTCTTTGGTTTTTTTTAATTTTTGGGCACTGCCCCGTACCCTAGCCCCCGAAATGTTATCATATATTTCATTTGTGTTGAAGAAATGTAGCTTCAATATCTTGTAATATTATATTAAATGATATATATTATCATTCTGTTGTTGAACAATAAAATATATTTCAAAACAGAACTAATCAGGCGCGGATCCAGGATTTTTCTAGGGGGAAGGGGCATTTTTTAAATTGTTTTTGCTCCCGAAAATTTGAAAATCGCACCGGCCGAAAATTCGCTGTGTGTGTGTGTGTGTGTGTGTGTGGGGGGGGGGGGGGGAGCCATCTCCGAAAAAAAGGTAAAATTAGCGTGTTTTTACACGTTATATTTCCTAGGGAGGGGGCCGGTCCCCCGGGCGCCCTGGATCCGCCACTGGTTAAATAGTAACAGTGCATTCAGTCAAAGTCTTAAAATTAACTTGTTTTCAAGGGTTGGCATAAACATTTCCCCATTGTCGGTATCGATGGAAGGGGCTTAGTGGTAACGGAACTTCTCAGTCAAAGTCAAAAAACTGTATTCCTGTCTTGGCGTTATCACTTTCTCTTGATCAGCATGGCGCCATGGGCGGGGCTTTAGAAAAAAGCTTTAGAAAAACTTCAGTGCTCGCCTTCGTGTATTCAAGGAAGAATAGCCCTATATCATTTTCCAAAGAAAAGCAGCGATGGGCGGGGTTCCATTCTTTCCTTCGACCAAACATAACCTGACAGTCACGCATTTTTAGAAGATTGTTTTATGTCCTTCGAAATTCGGTTGTGGCCTGATGATATTTTGGACCAATCAGATTGGCCTACGACACGTATTTAAATTATTTCCTTTTGATCATTACTGATGGGATGGGTGAAAATTGTCCTTTCCACCAATCAAAACCCAAGTTTGATATACTGTGGGGATGTATTCTACTTGTAATACTATAAATATGGGCATCCATTCCTTCCAGCTTCATATCGAGGATCCAGCAGGCAGTTGCACAACTAGATTTGAAGGACAGCAAATCTTCGAAAGCTTTTCATATTGTGAGCAGGGTGAGTATATTTCCTCTCTTCCTCAAAGTATCTCTATCTAATAACATTCATAAAATGTTGGCCGCATATATGTTTCTATACCAGAAACAGTTGGCCTGTAAGGAATAAGTTGCTTAGCTATTCATTCCTGTTGCATCATGGAAGGGTGAAACAGAAGTAGTATTATTTGACACCTTTGAGTGATATTTTGAGAGATTACAATAGAAATGATGGTGATGATTTTGAGTTAAAGGATAATTGGACCGTTTTAATAATACGCCAACATTACAACTATTTGAATATCATGGCTCATCATTATTTCTGATCTTGTTACCACCGACCTACCAGTTCTAAATAGCTTTCTCTATAAACCATTGCCGTATTTTGTATTTTGTCAGTAAGCAGTAACCATAGTCATTTCGTTTATCCTCCTCATTATTCCAACAGCAAGCTGAATATTCCCTTTCATATTTTTGTTTGTATTTTTAGTTCTTCTTTGAGTCCGACAAAACGTCTTGAACATGGCCCAACTTTTCTTGTACATGGCACTCGCTGCTACCTTCGTGCTTGTTTCAAGCCAACCGGATTGTAAGTATAATGTACCAATATATAAATAATAATATTACAAATATGTAAGAGTAATTTTTACACAGTCTCACAACTTAAAGTTAAGATAATTGCATTGCTTTGAAAAACATGACTGTTAAGCATGTTAAGTGAATTATTCAAAGCCTTCCACGCCCTCTATTAACCAGACAGGAAAAATACATGATATATATATATATATATATATATGTATATATATAAGTGAGATCTAGATTTAAAAACAAATATGCCAACAGTTTTGCAGACCATGACACGTTAAAATTTATTCTCTCTTAAATATATAAAAGAATGCGTAAGCCCACATTAATCATTTTTTTAGGCACGGACGATCCAAACGGGACCATCTACAGAGGAGAGTTGGCTCAGACCTTTTCCGGTAAAACATGCCAATCCTGGAACTCCCAGAACCCACAGAGGCACTCCCGGACACCCGGCAACTACCCTGATGCGGGCCTTGGGGATCACAACTACTGCAGGAACCCCGACAGTGCATTCACCGCCTGGTGTTACACCACCGATCCTGATACCCGATGGGAGTATTGTACCATTGGTGATTTCAGCCCCGAATGCACGAGTAAGTATTGTATATGTATGCGAATACATTCAGAACAAAAAATACAGTGGACGCTATTTGTATTAAAGATATTTAAATAGAATATTGAATTCGAGTTATTTTTCAAGTATCATAATACCATAAAATAACCCTCTCTAAGATGATATGAAATTTGATTCATACCACTCATGCATGAGTGAGCATAGTCCTTAAACAATTAATTAGTCTCTGAAAGAAAATAATTAAAATCACATACTACCGGGTACCTATGGGTGGAGAGAGCCAATTTAGCTTGATTGAGGACATGGGTGACTTGCCGGGGATCGAACCCACGACCTTCTTCTATATCCAGTCAAGTGTTGCAATCGACTACGAAACTTCTACTTATTCCACATTGAATTAGATCCCGAATGCTACCACCAATCCCCTGGCGCTGACTACCGAGGAGAAGTCTCGACTACCAGGAACGGTCGTGAGTGCCAAAACTGGACCTCCCAGTCGCCCCATGGTCACAGCCGCACCCCAGAGAACTACCCTACCTCTGGTCTCGGGGACCACAACCTCTGCCGCAACCCCGACGGCGAGGATTTTGCCTGGTGCTACACAACCGACCCCAGTGTCCGTTGGGAGTTCTGCAACATCGGATTGCCCGAAGAAGCTTGCTAAATGGCGTTCAATGTCTTCTTAAAATGAGCGGAGGAGGAAGGGGTATTTCTTGAATCTTATCATGTTTCGTTATCGTAATTTTGCTTTTTAATATTTATCATCTTTGGAAACAGGGTGACTTTGTAGGCCATATGGTGGCTGCTTACTGCTATGATACAACCTCCTATATTGATTTCACTGTCTGTCATTTCTTTGATGGAATATTATTGTTCAAACCTCTCTACGAGAAAGTATGGATCTAATTTCCTGTTCATATTTTAACAATTGCTAACATTCTTTAGGTGTTGTTCTGCTAGTACTTTCTTTTGATGGGGTGGTTGGGAGGGAAGGGGTCAACTATTTATATCAAGTGGTGTGTTTCAGAAAGAAATAACAAACAAAAACTAGACAAGAAATAGAGGGAAATAGAAGAATAAATGTTTCATTACTTCACCGTTACAAATTTATCTCATTGATATATTGATAATGATATAGCAGTGTAACTCAGATTGAATAAACAGTAGTTACTCTATTTATTCGCAATAATATTAAGCAATGGAAACATTGCTGTTTTTACTCTTTGAATTTGTATTAGTCTTAGAATTAAATCTTAGCATTGTGTTGTATTGGCTATAAGGTGTAGTACTGGATTAAATACTTCATATATTGTTTGATGTATCAATATTGCATTCCTTGATAATGAGTCACACCACCCCCTGTGCAATCATTTGTTGAACAATAAAAGACGATTGAAACATCTCTAGCACAATCACAATGTTGTGTTTGCTTTGTTGTATTTCCGTTTAATGGACAAGGAACAAAGAGAGAGAGAGAGAGAGAGAGAGAGAGAGCGAGAGAGATAGCGAAAGAGAGGGAGAGAGAAAGAGAGAAAGATTGAAAGAGCGAGAGAGAGAGAGAGAGAGATTGAAAGAGCGAGAGAGAGAGAGAGTTTTCTTTCCATTTTAATTTTGAATATTCATTGTAATGTGTGCGCGTGCGTGTGTCTGTGTATGTGTGCATGTGTGTGTGCATGCTTGTGAGTGTGAAGGTGAGAGAGAAGGATATATATATGGAGAGTATGAGAGACAGAGTGAGTGAGTGAGAGAGAGAGAGAGATAGAGAGATAGAGAGATAGAGATGGGGAGGGGTTGGGGTTGAGAGAAAATATTTAAACACACGAAGGCGCGAATCTTTTCCCTTTCGTTTTCTTTCCCTTTTAAAGGCGTCGTTTAAAAATGTTAAATCTGAGATGCACGACCCTATATGTGTTATCAGTGTCTGTGAAATAGTGTAATATTGAAGCACTAAAGGAATTGCGCTTCAAAATGATCAAGAAGTGCCTCAAAATTTTTTTGAGTGACCGGTTTTACCATACTCGTTTTCCCCAATAGACTGTAGTGAATCAGACAGGTGATCGGCTTGTAAAAGTCATTGGGTTCCTGACTGACCTAAAGGTTTGTAATTACCATTGCAGCATGAGCTAAATCCAGGATTTTGTTTCAGAATCTGGGACAAAGTTACCGGATCCCTTTAATTTTGAATATTCATTGTAATGTTTAAAAGGTTTAATATCACATTTTCATTACCTTTGGAAAATAAAAATATAATGAACTAGCCCCAAACATCTTACACATTCTTGTAACTTGCATCTTGGTAAATCTAAACTGCAATTCCTTTTTTTCTCCTCGGAACAGTTGATTTGAACAGACATTGTCTTCGATGTTACATCCCTCTTCTTCTCCTCTATAGGCTTTTCCTGAATTTGCGAAACATGTGCGATTCACAACGACAATAGTGAGGATAACGATGATGATGATAATACTACTACTACTACTACTACTACTAATGATAATATAGTAATAATACAAATAATCAAGTACACTGTGAAAAATGTGGGCAATATTATTTCCACACTTTGCCCAACGTTGTGCCATAGTCAACCCAACCATCTATTGGGCAATAATTTTCCCAGTGGTATTGGTAAAAGTACCCGACTTCACACGTGCATAATTGTTTCGTATTTTGACCAACATTTGGGCTAACATATCACCCTTCAACTGCCCAACTACGGCAGCCCACTTGTTGTGAAAATCTTGACCAGCTTTTGGGCAAAATACTAACAAATTATGCAAATATTGCCCCATAGATGGTTGGGTTGACTATGGCACACCGTTGGGTTACGTGTTGAAATAATATTGCCCAATTTTTTCACAGTGTATAATCACAGAGATTACCAGAAACAATGTACTATACAATCGAAATAGAATATCATACCCATACCTTGCGTACCCTTTTCAATTTTGTTTCAATCTTAATTCCGAGAGTCAGAAAGTGCGAGAAATGTCAGACAACTTTGCGAGGGGTGGAGACTTTATGAAACTACATTGTCATTGTGACTGATTGGGGACAAAAATAAGAATCTGACTTTCTGACTTAATGCACAGTGAATTGTGAATATGCGTACTCCACATAACATGATGTCATGAAGTCGATAGCTGGTTTTAAAGTAGACAATTCCGATTTACAAAGCTATTGATTTCGAGTTTCCAGAGAGCTGCTAGTCTTCTGACAGATACTAAATTAGTATATAATTGATATTATTGTAATTCATGACTCATAACCGTTCATAAATGAATATATAATTCATTTATTTCAACATGGTCTTTAAAGGACAAGTCCACTCGAAAATAACTTACTTTTAATAAAAGCAGAAAAATCTGACAAACCAATCAAAAAAGTTTGAGCAAAATCGGATAATTAATAAGAAAGTTATGAAGTTTTGAAAAAAAGTATGTAAACTATGGAACAATGAGAATGACAATACAAATTGCCAAGGTGGTTATTAGTTTGCGACGACATGTCCTCACTATTTATTAAATGCTCTTTATGGTTTAATCCCATTAATGTCCCTTTTTATTACCCAAAACTTGATTTCCCCATGCCTTTGCCCAGGATATATGATTTGTATCATATTGCGGGCATGACATTTCACAAAATCTTTTATGAACTTTGAAGAATTTCTACTATTTCTGAATATTGTATATTCATAATTTATTGATTTTTATATTAATAGTTTATCAAAATTCACATATTTCAACTACCCCATATTAGTGCATCCACACAAAACATATTACTATTAATGTAACTTGGATGCTGGTGTGAAGAAATAAGATTCTTGAGGAGAAAATAGGAAATTTATATCATCCATATAAAGAAAATAATTAGGGGATAGTGAGGACAACACGTCACAGACTCATGAGTGAGTTGCCAATTTGTCTAGTGATTTTCAAAGTTTTTAATGTCATTAAATTCATAACTTTCTTATTAGTTATCTGGTTTTGCTCAGACTTTTTTTGATTGGTTAGTCTGATCTTTCTGCTTCTATTGAAATTAAGTTTTTTTTTCGAGTGGACTTGGGCTTTAATGTTGGATTTTCCTTCAAGTGCAACTCAGCGCACTAAACTGACCTTGTACAATGTCTGGTTGTTTGCACGAAACACTCTCTCACTTTAAAATTGACTTCGACCCTCTTCATCAAACTTGTCATATAAGAGTGACTGATTTAAAAATATGCTGGTCTACTCGTTACGAAAATCCTCTTTAACTGAAATCCAGATATAACTTCGGACGTCACGGTTGCCATCGCATCTCAGTTTTCAGATCTCTCCGAGACATGAAGAGATATAGTGAGAGAACGGGAAGTGTGGGTGTGTATTTGTGAGAGACAGAGATAAACATATTTACACTTGTTCTGGGAGTGTGTACATGTTCAAAGATTATGGCAAAATGTAATAGCTAAGTTTGAGCTAAATGATTATTATCTGTGTCAAGCCATTATGTATGGAAATTATTTCTTTAATTATTTGTATATAATATATGGATAAACTGTATATGATGGAATTTGTTTTGAAATAAAGAACCCTGTGGAAGGGGGAAAAAGTTTGAGCTAAGGGAATTAAGGTCTATCGACTGGATAGATATTCATTTAGGGTTGTCCGGTAACTCCCCACGAATAAAGATTTGTAATACAATTATTTTTGCAATGAAGTATTGGATATATATTGAAAGAAGAAAAGAATATTGCAGGGAGGGCAGGTAAATTGGCCTTAAATTTACAGAAATGAGAACAAGTAAAGTTTTCATGAAATTTTAACACTGGGCTATTGTGGCTATTGTAGCCTCGTTTAAATGATTAACAAAACATGTTTTAAATAGATTGTTTCTGTTTGTCTGTCGCTCCAATTTAGGGTATTCTGAGGAGGCTAGGAACAGTGTGTGGTGGAAGTGTGGTCGGTGGTGTGTGTGTCGTATGGTGGGGAGGGGGGGGGGGGGGGTAGTAGTGTGTTTGGTTGAATGGGGTTGTTTGTTTTATGTTACAACTGATTTCATTTTCGTTATAATGTAATGAAAATGTTTTGAATTCTTGTCAAGGAAAAACAACTGTATTTTATTTCTAAAATTAATTTGTATTATTTGGAATCAATAAAAAAAAAAGTATGTGAGGAGGGGGATGGTAAATAGGCAGCACCGGACGACAATATATTAATATCATTTATAATTCATGTTTTTTTTTTAATAACCAAGACATGATTATATATATTTTCATTAAAAATATCTTGGGTAATGCAATCGATTATAATTGATATCATTTATAATTCATGTTTAAAAAAGAATTTTTTTAAAATAATAATCCAGACATGAATATATATATTTTCATGAATAGTTGAGTTCTGTTGCAGAAAGCGCTACACAAAATATTTTTATTTTAGTGAGATAATGAAAATCTGAGTGTCAAATTTGAAAGAACATACAATTTAAATGACAAAATCATCTTTGTTTGATCAAAATCGGTTCAAAGACGGCTGAAATATCCATAAATATAATGGTTTCTAATACTTTTGTACCACCACAAATATTAGATAATTTGAAAAAGCCGTTGGAAAAACGAAATAGCGCCTTTTACGTCGTATTTCAGCCAATGCCGATGTTGGTGTTTTTTCGTGTTGGTTATATTACGCACAACCAGCCGGCTCATGTATTTTTTTAAAAAATCAATTAATTAATTAAAGGTCACCTTAATTTCTAAAAAGTGGAGCTGAATTGGTATGACCGTATTGGCTAAATTTCACACATTATGGGGGTCTAAAATTACCTTCATAGCAATTTTAGGTCCTTAAAGAGCACTAGAAAGGTCATAAATAAGAATACGAGCAATAACCATGCACTTTGAAGGCATTTGTGGTCTGAAAATAGAACTTAATTTTCTCTTTAATATCATTTATAATTCTTCTTTTTATTTTATTTTTTTCTTCTAATAATCCAGATATGATTACATATATTTTCATGAAAATTATCTGGGGTAATGCAATCGATTAAAATTATCTACCTGAATAAAATGATTTCAACGCGATACGTAATTGGAAAATGGAATTAGCTTAACTCTTGTGAACAATTTGTTTAATATCTTATCCACTGTGTAGACATTCTGATATTTAAATGTATCCTTTCTGACATATCAGCTTTTAATATCTTTCAACAAAATATTTTGAGTAGATTTCAGTGATGGTTTAATATGGAACATTGTTGAATACGAATTAAAAAAATATAATACTTGAATAAAAGTTGATATAAGTAACAATTTCTTGGGAATTTAACCAGCATAACATAGCGTCGAGGTGTCGTGGCCTAGTGCATATGTCACCGGACCATGGATGATGATGATGTCATGAAATCGATAGCCTTTTTTTTTTTAGGGCGACAACATCCGATTTTCAAAGCTTTTGATTTCGAGTTTTCATAGAGCTGTTACTCCTTTGACAGATACTGAAATAGTATATTATTTAAATATATGGCCTGTAAGCCCTCATCTGATTTATAATTCATCTTTTAATTTGTTTAATCCGGACAAGTAAACCATGGATATGAATTTTTTTTCCCATTTTCGTGGGTCACCTCCTGCAACCACACAAGAACCAAATATTTCAAGGGTGAGTGTGTTTTTGTCCAATCTCGCTACTGTCAAGAAGTAGTGGTGGGTTAAGAATTTTGTAGCCGGGGTGAGGAGGGGGGGGGGGGGGGGGTTAGGAGAGGGCATGTTTTTTAATGAAAATCCCTGAAATGGATAAACAACAATTCTCACTTCTTCTAACATTATCCTTGTGGCTTTTCCTTGAGATTAAGTCAAATTTCCTTTCATATACTTAAAGTTCATTGTGATATTGTGATGTAAACAAACTAACTGTACAAATATAAAAGAAATATAAGGAATAATGAGGGTCCTAGCTATAAAAAAAAAGGGGAAAAAAGGAGAAATGCTTCATTGCAACCATCATAGTTTGGTGAGTTATTGTTATTTATGTTCAAACATTGTCAGATTTTGTGTATGTTCTCTTACGCTCTTGGTATTTAAAAATAAAATAAAAAGGTGTCAATCAGCAATATCATTTTGTATTGTTTTCCCTTAGCATTTCAATTAAATGCAAGTGCATCGCAACCAGATACATAGCTTATTTCCTTATGTCCTATCATATCTTTGTTGTCCCTCTGATTTATTCAAAATTTTGCTTATCAAGAGGGGAGAGGAACCCCCCCCCCCCCCAGCACCTCTGCCACGGGTTACAAAGGAAAAAAAGAAAATTATCCTTCAAATGATCCTGCAACATAAACACAATGGATGAGCATATTCATTCGCAGAACAGCAACAACCATAACAGAAATTACACAGTACATACATTCCAATACATATGCAACTACAGTTTAATAATCAATCAGCAACGGCGTACCTACCATCAAAAATGGACGAGCTCAGGTAAATACACCCTTTCTCTCCCTTACCCACATTGAAAAGCAAAACTTGAGAGAAAATTAAGAGTGAAAGATAGTAAAAGATAGAAAACATAAAAGGGCCAGGCAACATAGAACGAACCTAATATGTCATCCTTCTTTTACTTCATAGCCTTGTTCTCTAACAGTTTATCTACATTATAAGACTGATTACCATCAATAGCTGGATCCAAGCTACGCCACTTCACATGCACACTCATATGAATACAAAAATAAACAAAGTTTGTTACCATTCATCGATATCAAAGCCACAGACATACATTTCACCAATGCCATTCAGATATTTCTTCCAAGGTTCATTGAAGAATGAAATCAAAATGTTGACACATGATTTTGGTTCGTTCACCTTGAAATCTAACGACGTACATAATTGTCAAGAGAATCCATCAAATGTAAACAGGTACATTGCATTGTTTTAATCATGGGTTTTTATGACACCAATTTGAAAATTCTTTACTTAATCAAACTGAGCATTCTATGTAGCAGGGAAAAACAAAACAAAACAGAGTGCTGGTTTTATTATAGATTGATCCTAATTTTATAAAAATATCTCCATTTCAAAACATGGACTTTAATTTCTGAAATATCAAACCTACTATCATCGTATGATGGTTAAAAATGATACACAAACTTATTGAGTTCTTTGTAACAACAACTTCTCACATTATCCTTAGTTATTAGAATGATAAGCATCTTATATTTAAATCAGTAGGTTCCGAAATGCATCAATTCACTTCTTTGTAGAGAGGAAGTACAAGAGCATGACTGTGTCAATGTTTGCATGGTATACCCAAGCTTGTCGAATTTTAGCGATGATAAACAAGCATGGCATCATAATGACACAGGATAAAGTGTTCAAATGGTTTTCAAAATGCTTTATGAAACATATATGTAATCAGAACTGTTAACAAATGAAAGTTCATATGCTCATGAAAAACTACATGTAGCAGCAGATATCATATTAAGCAACTTCTCTTTAAGTTTGGCATATTCCAATCAGTTTTTTGAAGGTTGATAAACAACCAGTGTTTAGTCCATTATAGAGTTACACTACATAAGATCAAAATGATACATTTAAATTATATCATTCAAACAAATAATCTTTAATAATCAAGGTGCCAATTAAAGGAAAATAATAATGTCGCTTTTTTGTCGGAACCCGTTGATGACGACGCCTAATCCATGCTTGCCATGAAAGGGCCCATGACATCGAAATACAAGTGTATTCCTGTTGGTGTGCAGTCCTGCATACATCTCATATTTTGATATATAAACTTTTGAATTTGTTTCACAGATTTTTAAATATTTTTTAAAATATTTGTTTTTCAAACTTGCTAAGCTCCAGGCTGAAAGGCAGACTTGTCGGTGAAATCGATAGAACAGTTTCGGGTGATATTTCTTACAATTTTGAGTTCGAGAGCAAGTGTGAAGGTGGGCAACATGGCAAATTTGCTTCTGTATAATATTTTACATATTATTATGCCAAAGAAACGTGGTCGCATTTGACGAACCACGAACATGCACAATTTCAGTGGTGATTTCATAGTTTAATGGTATCAAATTTTGGATGTTCCTTTAAGCGCAACTCTGCTCCCATTATCCGCTTCAAGAATTAAGACAGTGTATGTAACTGACCTTGTACAATGTCTGGTTGTTTTCACGAAACACTCGTCAATTTTTAAATTCGACCCTCTTCATCAAACTTGTCATATTACTAACTGCTTTGAAAATATGCTGGTTTACTTGTCAAGAAAATCCACTTTACTGAAATCCAGATAAAACTTCGGACGTTGCCATTGGACCTCATATTTCAGACCTCTTCAAGACATGAAGGGATATAGAAAGTGAAATGAGTGTGTGTGTGTGTGTTGTTTGAGTTTGTGTGTGAGAGAGAGAGAGAGAGAGAGAAAGAGAGAGGAGAGAGAGGGAGAGATAGAGGGAGTGGGATGGTGTATTTCGGGAGGGGGGCGGTGGTGGGCATTACGGTACGACAGAACGATTTTTTATATTAAAAAGAAAATAATTTCATATGTACGCCACGGGACCAGTACGACAGTCCTCCTTATAATGTTCATAATTTATGGTGGTTTTTGTTGTCAATAAGTTTTAAAGAATGATTTTGTTTTTTAAATCGTAAAGCGCTTAGAAACAGCATTATGCGGTATACAGATGTGATTATTATTTATATTATTATTATTATTATTATTATTATTATTATTATTATTATTATTATTATTATTATTATTATTATTATTATTATTATTATTATTATTTTTGTTATTATTATCATTATTACTATTAGAAGAGCCAAGGTAAATTTAAGGATCATGCGAATGAATTACAGTACATTGCAAACAATAGACGTATATCCATCCATTGACACCTTGCCAAATGTTAAGGAATAGTTTAGTTCAATGGGCCATTTGTGTAATGTAATCAAATTTAATGCGCAAATCTTTCTAATGTAACTCCTTACAAATTATTTCATCCACCTATTACAAATAATTGTTTTTCAAAAGTCAGAATGCGAATTGCATACATTCCATATTGATAGGTAGGACAGGCGATACTGTTTGTCCTACCTAGCAACAATAAATGTGCACTGTCGCTCATATAGTTGGAATATAATGAGAATTAATGCCTCACAAAAGGGCACTAATATAGCACATCGACACGGTTTTGATCCTGGGACCTCACAGTTACGAGGCCATTGCTTTGCCACTGAACCATGATTGTACGCAGCGGGGGCTAGGGTACGGGGCAGTTCCCACAAATAAAATAAAGACAAAGAAAATGCAATAAATTATCAATAATTCATAGAATCCCCCCCCCCCCACGATCCCCAACAGAAAAAAAAATCTTCTGTGTGCCCATGCCTTGAGCCATAATGCATGGATTTTTGTTTATGTTGGGGACCGGGGTAGAATGCAATGAATTATTGATTATTTAGTGCATTTTCTTTGTTGTTTTTTTATTTTTGGGCACTGCCCCGTACCCTAGCCCCCGAAATGTTATCATATATTTCATTTGTGTTGAAGAAATGTAGCTTCAATATCTTGTAATATTATATTAAATGATATATATTATCATTCTGTTGTTGAACAATAAAATATATTTCAAAACAGAACAAATTAGGCGCGGATCCAGGATTTTTCTAGGGGAAGGGGCATTTTTAAAATTGTTTTTGCTCCCGAAAATTTGAAAATCGCACCGGCCGAAAATTCGCTGTGTGTGTGTGTTAGGGGGGGGGGGGGAGCCATCTCCGAAAAAAAGGTAAAATTAGCGTGTTTTTACACGTTATATTTCCTAGGGAGGGGGCCGGTCCCCCGGGCGCCCTGGATCCGCCACTGGTTAAATAGTAACAGTGCATTCAGTCAAAGTCTTAAAATTAACTTGTTTTCAAGGGTTGGCATAAACATTTCCCCATTGTCGGTATCGATGGAAGGGGCTTAGTGGTAACGGAACTTCTCAGTCAAAGTCAAAAAACTGTATTCCTGTCTTGGCGTTATCACTTTCTCTTGATCAGCATGGCGCCATGGGCGGGGCTTTAGAAAAAAGCTTTAGAAAAACTTCAGTGCTCGCCTTCGTGTATTCAAGGAAGAATAGCCCTATATCATTTTCCAAAGAAAAGCAGCGATGGGCGGGGTTCCATTCTTTCCTTCGACCAAACATAACCTGACAGTCACGCATTTTTAGAAGATTGTTTTATGTCCTTCGAAATTCGGTTGTGGCCTGATGATATTTTGGACCAATCAGATTGGCCTACGACACGTATTTAAATTATTTTCCTTTTGATCATTACTGATGGGATGGGTGAAAATTGTCCTTTCCACCAATCAAAACCCAAGTTTGATATACTGTGGGGATGTCTTCTACTTGTAATACTATAAATGTGGGCATCCAATCCTTCCAGCTTCATATCGAGGATCCAGCAGGCAGTTGCACAACTAGATTGGAAGGACAGCAAATCTTCGAAAGCTTTGGATACTGTGAGCAGGGTGAGTATATTTCCTCTCTTCCTCAAAGTATCTCTATCTAATAACATTCATAAAATGTTGGCCGCATATATGTTTCTATACCAGAAACAGTTGGCCTGTTAGGAATAAGTTGCTTAGCTATTCATTCCTGTTGCATCATGGAAGGGTGAAATAGAAGTAGTAACATTTTGCCACCTTTTAGTGTTTTTTTGAGAGACGGGGAACTTGAAATGAAGAGAATATTTCTTTCCAATAAATACCATAAAGTTTTTTTTCTATCGGTATTGATGTGTTCTGAATTTATTACGATGACCTTAGGACTTTGTCATTATGTGAAATCGAATCAAACAGATCAAGCAATATTCCGAAGAATTTACAATACGAAGCATTATTAATTATTTCCAAATATTTTTGACAAAACTTCTACTTGACAATGTGCAAACTTCAGTTTGATACGAGTTCAATTCAATTTAAGTTATAAATGATATGTCAGGTGCATCTACTTACACCAAAGATTAATGAAAATGATAACAATAGAAATTATGGTGTTAATTATAGTTTTAAGGATACTCGGATGACTCTACGTATGCGCCAACATTACAACTATTTGAATATCATGGCCCGTCATTATTTCTGTTCTGGTTACCACAGACCTCCAAATTAGCAGGTAGCTTTATCCACAAACTGTTGGCTCACTTCCTTTTGTGTTGATATTCAGTAAAATACCACAGTCACTATCTTAATCCTTATCTTATTCTCCGCTTCATTCCTACAGCCATCCGATTATTTCTTTTCTTATTTTTTGGTATCCTTAGTTCTTCTTTGAGTTCGACAAAACGTCTTGAACATGGCTAAACTTTTCTTGTACATGGCACTCGCTGCTATCTTAGTGCTGGTTTCAAGCATCCCCGATTGTAAGTATACATTTTCTTTTAAATGTACCAATATATCAATAATAATATTACAAATATTTAAGAGTGATTTTTATACAGTCTCACTATTTCAAGTTAGGATATATTGCATGCTTTGAAAAACATGACTCTTAAGCATGTTAAGTGGATTATTCAAAGTCTTTAACCTCCCCCCAATCAGACAGACAAAATACATTTTATATGTGTGTGTATATATATATATATATATATATATATATAAGTGAAATCTCGATTAAAGAAAATAAGCCGACAGATTTGCAGACCAAAACATGTAAGTGGATTAATAAACGCCTTGGCACTTTCACTTAGTTGCTTTGAAGATATTTTTTTTAAAGGAAGAAAGTTGAACCATACATGTATGTATTAATTGAAGGACCATGCAGAACAGGAAAGTAGTCTAGGAGGGCATTTCAAAAGCACTCATATTTATCAGATGCCTTTATTAATACCATGCTCTTTCGGCATCCTCATCGTAAGGAACTTATTTCTTTTAACTTACCCAACTAAAGCTGTTATGAATCTAGTTTACCATTACTGTATCATTATGATCATTTTATTTTTAGCAGTTAAAAACAAATTTCCGAATGGACAATAAATACTTAATTTCAATTTTAATTTCATTCTCTCTTAAATGAATAAAATAATGCGTAAGCCTACATTAATCATTTTTTAGGCACGGACGATCCAAACGGGACCATCTACAGGGGAGAGTTGGCCCAGACATTTTCCGGTAAAACATGCCAATCCTGGAACTCCCAGACCCCACAGGGGCATTCCCGGACACCCGCCAACTACCCTAATGCGGGCCTTGGAGATCACAACTACTGCAGAAACCCCGACGGTGCATTCACCGCTTGGTGTTACACCACCGATCCTGATACCCGATGGGAGTATTGTGCCATTGGTGATTTCAGCTATGAATGCACGAGTAAGTATTGTATATTTATGCGAATACATTCAGAACAAAACAAACAGTGGACGCTATTCATATTAAAGATATTTAAATAGAATATTGAATTCGAGTTATTTTTCATATATCATAATAACATAAAATAACCCTCTCTTAGATGATATGGAATTTGATTTATACCACTCATGCATGAGTTAGCATAGTCATTAAACAATTAATTAGTCTCTGAAGGAAAATAATTAAAATCGCATCATACCGGGTACCTATGGGTGGAGAGAGCCAATTTAGCTAAGGTGCCTTGATTGAGGACATGAGTGACTTGCCGGGGATCGAACCCACGACCTTCTTCTATATCCAGTCAAGTGTTTAAACCAATCGACTACGAAACTTCTACTTATTCCACATTGCATTAGATCCCGAATGCTACCACCAATCCCCTGGCGCTGACTACCGAGGAGAAGTCTCGACTACACGGAACGGTCGCGAGTGCCAAAACTGGACCTCCCAGTCGCCCCACGGTCACAGCCGCACCCCAGAGAACTACCCTACCTCTGGTCTCGGGGACCACAACCTCTGCCGCAACCCCGATGGCGAGGAATTCGCCTGGTGCTACACAACCGACCCCAGTGTCCGTTGGGAGTTCTGCAACATCGGATTGCCCGAAGAGGGTTGCTAAATGGCGTTTCAAAGAGTCTTCCTAAAATGAGCGGAGGGGAGGGGGTGTCTCTGGTATCTTGTCATGTTTGGTCATCGTAATTTTGCTCATTATATCATCTTTTGATTCAAGGGTGACTTTGTAGGCCGTATGGTGGCTGACTTACTGCTCTGATTATAACTTCCTAATAGATTTCACTGTCTGTCATTTCTTAATGGAATACATACAAATGTTAAGGGGCAAAGTCATTATTGTTCAAACCTCTCTACGAGAAAGTATGGACCTAATTTCCTGTTCATATTTTAACAATTGCTAACAGCCTTTATTATCAAGGTGTAGGTCTTTGTAATTATATAGGTGTTAACTTGTTGATCTATTCCTTTCTTTTGATCGGAGTGGTTGGGAAAGAAGGGTTTAAGTATCTCTATCAAGTGGTATGTTGCAGACAAAAATAACAAACAAACAAATAAACAAGAAATAGAGGGAATTGGCAGAATAAATGTTTCATCACTTCACCATCACAAATTTATTTCATTGATATATTAATAATGATATAGCAGTTTAACTCAGATTGAATAAACAATAGTAACACTATTTCTTCGCAATAATATTAAGCAATGGATACGTTGCTGTTTTTACTCTTTGAATTTGTATTAGAATTAAATCTTATTATTGTTGGTATTAGCTATGGTGTAGTACTGGACTAAGTATTTCAAAATAATGTTAAAAGTAACGCTTTTTAATATTGCATTCCTTGGTAATGAGTCACACCACCCCCTCTGAAATCATTTGTTGAACAATAAAAGACGATTGAAACATCTCTAGCACAATCATAATGTTGTGTTTACTTTGTTGTCTTCCTGTTAATTAATGGACAAGTTTGACACAAAATAGTCATTTTTTTGTCGTTGTCCGTTCTCCAGTACGTTTATTTACTAGACAATGGTTGGTTGGAGGTGGGAAAGGGAGGGGATTCAAAAGCAAACGAAACTGAGCTCAAGAGGAAACAAAGATTGTAAATATGAAAATGTAAAGAAAAGGAGGACGAATGAATAATGAGAGAGGAAGGTATAAAGCATATAAGAAAGAGAGGGATAAAAGAAAATGTAAGAAAAAACTAATAAAGAAAATGGAAAACGGAAAAGGAGACATAACGAGAGAGATAAAGACAAATATGATACAGCACTAATAGAAGAAAAATGGAAAAGCGACAAGGAAGAAAGAGAGAGAGAGAGAGAGAGAGAGAGGGTGGGGGTTGTGTGCGCGTGCGTGTGTTGTGCGTGAATGCGTGTGTGTGAAGGTGAGAGAGAAGGATATATAAGAGGAGAGAGAGATGGGGAGTGGTTGGGGCTGAGAGAAAATTTAAGAATGTAACGAAGGCGCTAATCTCTTTCCTTTCGTTTTCTTTCCCTTTTTAATTTTGAATATTCATTGTGATGTTTTAAAGATTAAAAGATTTAAAGATTATCATATTTTCATTATCTTTGGAAACTTGAAATATAATAAATTATATACCTCATACATAGATTGTCATTCACTGATTGGTCAAGACTATATCACATGTCAAGGAGCATTTCGATCTATCAAGTATCATTACGTCAGAGGGGTTGATAGCTTCTATCAAACCCTGGGATAGGACGCCCCTAACCCCCCTCCCGCGACTTAGTTGCGCACACAAATTTTTTGAGTTGCTAGGCTACCGCAATCGCGCGGTTACGCGCAGCGCGTAGGAATTCAATACTCTTGCCTTGGACTTGATGTTGGATTTTTCTTATTTGGGTTTGTAAATTCCTCTTGATCTCGTTTCCTGTTTTTAGAGCTAGATCTAGACCTACAGCTAGACCTAATCATGAATCAATAAAAAGGATGAGGTATATAAAACAAATATGGACTGCTCTGTAATCGGATGATGGTGGGAACTACCACTCCCTCGGTGGTGTTCACACCGGCCCTTCTATCACCCCCTCGGCTTCGCCTCGGGGGTGATAGAAGGGCCGGTGTAAACACCACCTTGGGAGTGATAGTTCCCACCATCATCCTCATGAGCAGTCAATATTTGTATACTAGCCCCGATCATCTTACAATCTCTTTTAAATTGCATATTGGTAAATTTAAACTGCAACTCCTTTTTCCTCCTCGGAACAGTTTATTTGAACAGACCTCGTCTTCGATGTTACATTCACCTTCTCCTCTTTTAGGCTTTTCCTGTATTGGCGAAACATGTATAATAATAATGATAATGATAATGATAATAATAACAATAAGTAGAATGATAATGATTTTAAAAAAATTAAAAAATTATGTATAAGCACAAAGATTACCAAAAAATATACCTATACGTCGTGTGTCCAGACAGGCTTTTGCATCCGGATGGCTGCTTTAAAACAGCAATTTGAAGAAGTTTACAAGCAAATTTTCTTAACTCTTTTAAGAATTATGTTCGACAATATTATACAGGACAAATATTGATGATGGTCAGTGCTTGTTCATGAATATTGTTCATTAAATACGAAGGCAAAAGAGAAGGCTATATGTTTGTTAAATGTCCGGACACACAACCCCATCTTACGCTAGTACTGAATGGATTTCGGTCTCTTATCAGACTTGGATTTTATCATGATTACTTCAGATAATAAAGTACATTTTCTGTTAGATCAACTAAATGCCTGTGGAGCGCCAGGACTCCAGGAGTGTCATGTTTTGAAAGACATGAGCGCTATGCAAGAACCCACATTTTGGATGACTTCAAAAAGATGACCTTACCCCCCCCCCCCCCGCTTATTCAGCGGCTAGTTGAGTCGTTGCGAAATTTTTGGCCCGATTTCAAAATGTTTACCCCCCTCCCCCCCCCCCCCCCCTTGAAAAAAATCCTGCGTACGCCACTGGATATACCGTATAATAAAATGGAGTAAAAAGATAAATTAATTGGTACATCACAATCGCAAAGGCTTTCATAAAAACCGGCCATATTACACTTTCGATATATATGCGGTATCCTTATGCACACGTCGCTATGAATCTATGATTTCTAAAGCGTTAAATTTGATACATTAAACAGGGTACTGAAATTGCCCTTGCAAGTTGCGCTGATTTCTTAAAAGTCATTGCGATCAAATTCCACTTACATTCCAAAGTTCTCGCCCTCTTCCAGCGTGTCAGGGAGTTTCCTCCCTCGGGTTTCGGGGAGGAGGAGGGTGGAGAACCCGACGGCTACCCCTGCTGCACCATAGATCACCATGGGGAGGGGGCGCCAGTACTTGGATAGTGTGAGAATGAGGGGAGAGATGATACCTGCCACGCGGGAGAAGGTCGAGAATAGGCCCATCGCGGAGCTCCTGTGTCATCGGGAAAAGTGTCGCACAAAAAAGTAAAGGTAGAATTATAAAGAAAAATACCAACATAAAACTACGGTTGCACAGTATACAGAATGATCCGGATACGATTTCGACTTTTAGGTGTCGAGGTAGGGTGATTCATTGGGAAATACAGGACATATAAACTCAGTACAATGACACATCAATGATAACAACAACATGCTAATAGTGAATGGGGACAGCTTGGAAGGCATTTCTATATAAAAACCTGACCCGAGCAGAAAAATAGAATGTAATGCAATGTCATTACATTTGAATGTCCCAAATTTCCAATTTTGTAAGACATTGTCTGCCACATGCCACCCGACCTTTAATATGTGTTGATGGGAACATTGGTTTGCATGTATGTATGTACCAATATTTCATTAGTGCTTTAATTTTAAGTAGGCTAATTGTAATTTTTTGAAACATATACAATATATTTTAATAAATATACGCAATTATGATTTTGAATGCATTTAAGAGTATCGTGTACATATATTGCCTAATTAAATTACCTGATTGACGTTGGGTAGAGTTCAACAGTATACAGGAAGAGGACTGCATAGGCAGCAGATATACCAAACTTGCCTATCATAGCAAAGACTGTAAGTGCCGTTCCAGGGGCTTCATGTATAAAGGTCAAAAGTTATAGGATTAATATTCTGCGCCTTTGATTTGTTTTGTTTTGTCAACAGAACTATGGCGCAATATAAAAACTGAAGATCATCATCATCATCACCATTATAATCATCATCATCATCATCATCATCGCCATCATCATCACCATCATTATCACCATCATTATCATAATTATCATTATCATCATCATCACCATCATCATCATCATCATCATTATCATCATCATCATCATCATCATCGCCATCATCATCACCATCATCACCATCATTATCATAATCATCATTATCATCATCACCATCATCATCACCATCATTATCTTCATCTTCACCATCATCATCATCATTATCATCATCATCACCATTATCATCATCATCATCATCATCACCATCATTATCATCATCACCATCATTATCATCATCGTCACCATCATCATCATCATTATCATCACCATCATTATCATCATCATCATCATCACCATCATCATCATCATCATTATCATCATCATCACCATCATCATTATCATCATTATCATTATCATCATCATCGTCATCATCATTATCATCATCATCATCATCATTATCATTATTCCTAACAACAGGATAGGTAAATAATGAAAAGTGATGTCCTTCCCGGTGCTGTTGAACAAAAGGTAATTTTAAAGTAGAAACTAAAGCATGGATTCAAGAAGCAGTTATGAAGCAACATGGATTCTATGAATACAACATAGTAAATGTCTCATGATCAAAAAGTTTGTAAAATGGGGCTAAGACTATTAAACCGCAATTTTGAAATAATACGTTATATGCCGTGAACTGCTTGACCAGGGGCGATAGAAGTTGTACAGACCAGTTAAACATGTCAAATATAGTAGCCGGTGACTCTGTGTTATTGTCATTGATTAATTGGACAGTCAAATAGGAATCAATGACTAATGTTTATTCGGATTTTAAATCTTTACAACCAAGGGTAAAGTAAATTGAACACATACTGGCCTGCTGCAGTCGATGTTTGTCGCACATGATGTGTATGTTGTATGTTTTTTAAATAATTATTCTAAACAGTGTGGCAATCTACGTTGTTTAACCGTAACAGTCGCATTGGAAGACTCGAAAAACACAATTCCTTGGGTCCTACAATATTGTCGCTACATAGAAAATTGGGCGTTAACTGCCTGCAAGAAGGACCTTCCTGCCATTGACAATACATAGAACTCAGGGCCTTCTTGCCGGGAGCCAGCTTACGGTGTTCGACTTACGAAATATGGCTGAAGAGAGTAGCGAGGCTCCGCTGAGGAGGAGCAGACCGCAGAGACATCGAGGTCTCCCGATAACTTCGACGAGTACAGATGAGAAGAGGTAGGCTGGGATCTCGACGGCTCCTGCGATTGCAAAGGCAAGGTAATCGTTGACCCCGAGGTTGGATGTGTTCAAAGACAATCCATGGTAAACGACTGCGTTAACCATCCTGATGCAAGAGGGCAAAACATAATGTATGAATGTATAAAGATGTAAAGTGTTAATATCAATCTCATTGGGGGAAGTAGTGAATTTCAAAATATAAAACATAGTTATTGTGTCATTGTTATGCTATGAATCATCATCACCATCGTCATTGGTGGAAGAATACAGATTAATGTGAAGATGATTACTATATTCTCAAATTATCGTTGTTTAAATTACTTTTAATTACCAAACTGTCACTAACTATTCAAATAAAACCACTTTGAGGAGATACCAACCAGTTAAAGGTGAGATTAATGCTTCGCATTCGCATCTTAGGAGTTCGGAAGAGGTCCAAGGCAGATGCTTGATGTCCCGCTCCTTCTGATTTCTAGACAAAAGTAGATTGATTCATGTTATCAATAAATAATTGGTCAATCCAACTCTGAAGAGAAACAATAAGATTGTTTATCTAGATATTGGACGCAGTGTTATCATTTGCAGTGAGTATACATTTGAAATGACAATGAGGCTTCTAAACAAATGATACAGTGATATAGAGATGATCGGATTTGTTATATATAATCTTCTTTCTTCTTCTATTTTCCACGCACCGCCCACCCCGGCGGGGTTATCTGAATAGACAGACAGCCCACGATACCGACAAAAAGGGACGATTATAGAAATCTAGTCCCTTTTGGGCCCTCTTTCTAAAAGTGGTGAGGCTCATGGGACCAGTTGCCCGTGGTCTTATGGGCTATTGATCTAGAATGTTGTCGGTTTTGTGGACTGTCGGCCTCGTTGGTTGTCGGTCTGGTGGAATGTCGATCTCTAGGGCTTTAGCCCTACCAGACACTCGACCAAGCCACGCACACGCACTCATACACAATCATCCCACACACACTCCATCAGGTGTCCGTATTCCAAGAAGGCCGTCACAGTTATGTACTGCCAATTGCAGTAACGGTCTTCCTCTGATCCTGAGGGCAACCCGAACTGTTTCCAATCTTACCCTTTGCTCTTTGAATTGCTCAGTAAAGAGCGGTGATGGAAGTGTCTTCTTGTTGGATTTAGCCATTGTTGCAAGTGTCTTCTCCGCTTTGTCGTATCTACCGCTAGATATTTGCCACCTTACCGACTCGGGTAGGAACCTAGCAAAGATGGACGTTAAGGGGTATAATGAGGAAAGAACTGAGTTTGTAACTTCTTCCTTAGGTTTGTATTTAGTTCTCTTCGTCGAGATAGGCCCAATGATATGGGTTTCCTTTGAAACTTATTTATTAACATTTGCTTGACATTGTTACTTGTTGGTTCCCACCAGTAGCGTACGCAGGTTTTTCCAAGGGGGGGGGGGGGGGAGGTAAGAGGACACAGATACGACAAAGCGGAGGGGGTAAGAGGACACCCCCCCCCCGAAAAAAAGGGGGGGGTTTAACCTGAAAATACACACATAATAAAACTGAAGGGGGGGTTCAAACCCAACTCCCCCCCCCCCTGCGTACGCGCCTGGTTCCCACTACTATGTTAGGCGTATAGTCGTTATTCCCTTTATAGGACCATCCACCAAGAAGCTTTGCAGTTGGGTTCCTTTTTTTTTTTTTTTTTACATATCCTCATTTTCGTTTTCCTTAATTCCAAAATTAAGTAACTACAAGGAAACCATTTGTTAAATTTACGTTTTGGTTATGAAATTCAAAATATGTTTGTATTATCATTTTCTTTGGCCTGTATATCTGCATTGTTCTTTTTTTTAATCCTATATTTTTTCCCTTTTCATATCAATTGCATTTTGAACTGGTGTATCTATCATAGACATACCTAGCTGATCTACGTCTGATGTTTCACACAGTTATATGCAATATTGCATGTACTCATATGCTAATACCGTCTCATATATTATCGTGTAATAACTTTATTATAGAAACCACATAGATATTCATGTATTTATATATCAGGCCCTACATTTTCATCGTGCCAATTATTTATACCATTGTTCCGTATCTCTTTGCATATATATTCGTATTTGAAATCAAATCTTTAGGTTGCAATGAAAGAATAGTAGATACATAAATCTTTTGTATTATCCTTTTTTTCTTCTTGTAAACAAAACTAAAAAAAGGGTAATGTTAAATGTGAACAAGAAAATAAATCGAATATTACCTCAACTTAATGTGATTTATAACCCTTATTCATGTTACTTGGACCATTTTGGAACAGCTTGAACTTGCGTTTATAACCATTTCTACCGAATGATGTTTAACGTCAGGTAGGGAAATTACAACTACAAACAAATCTCAGAAACATCGGCAACATTTTCGACAAGAGATGTCCAAAAAAAAGGCATCCCTTGTCACTTTTCGAAATTCGGAATACTGAAGCAAATAAAACATTGAGAAAATAAAGTTGATCTGATTTGTTTCTTACATCATAATTGCCATCAGGACGAGAGTAGGAACAGTAGCAACGATCTCTAGAGTCTTCCAGTAGCGAATGAAGTAGGCAACCAGAGCAAGGCATACGTACCCCGTGGCAAAGGGGACAGCGAAAAGTATCCCGGTGATGTTTCGTTTTGAAGTGCCCGCAAACTCATTTGCTGAAATTGATATTTTATTTAAAAACTAAGATGAAAAGTAATCATAGCCGAACTAGGGTGGAATAAGTATTGAGGACGTATGCATGTTTTGCAAACAGTAGGAGTTCTCTCAAGGCTCGAGAGTGGTAAATTGAAAATTAACATTATTCTGGTCTTGTTAATTATTATACATGACGTTAGAGACGTGACTTAATTAGATTTGTGCACACCATGATGATACGAAATCTGATGTAGATATATACCAGGCCACCACATTTTTTTTTACCCATGTTGAATAAACCTTTACCTGAAGACACGTTACCTTTTTTGTAAATTCGATAGGTGGGGAAATATTTTATCCCATTCTTACTACAGTGTATGCCTTAAGTAATATGCAAACAATAATCATCTCGGTTTTTGCATGCATCTTAATTTGAAAAATAAACAACAACAAAACAAGGAAAAAGACGCACCCCCCCAAGAAAACCCAGACACAAATAAGCATTTGCCAAGTTTGTGCTAGTGTATTTGACTTACCTAATACGAAGGAAATGATGTAAATTGGGATGGCGACGAATCCTTGAATAAATCGAATGGTAGAGAACACCCACCATGACGGGGAGAAGGCAAGGGCGAACCCGGCAATGAGACGGATGATCATGCAGATCATCAAAGACCACCATCGTCCGATTCTACAGTTTTAGGTTTAAAGAGATCGTTCAACAATGTTAAATCTGAGATGCACGGCCCTATATTGAAGCCCTAAAAAAATCGCGCTTCAAAATTATCAAGAAGTGCCTCCAAAAAGTAAAAATGTTTGAGTGACCGGTTTTACCATACTCTTTTCCCCCAATAGACTGTAGTGTTATGAAAATCGTTTGGCAAACGGTTTTCAAAATTTGTAATTCCAATCATAAATATCTTGATAATCAGACATGCGATCGGCTTGTAAAAGTCATGGGGTTCCTGACTGACCTATCATTGCAGCATGAGCTAAATCCAGGATTTTGTTTCAGAATCTGAGACAAAGTTACCGGATCCCTTTAAACAAAATGTACACTTAAAGTGACTCGGGAACATTGTTGAAGGTTGATGAAAAAACTGCTCTTTTCAAACCACACAGATATTTATGGTTTTCTTTGAAGGCATCACTGTGCTACACCCTCTTACAGTAAATTCTCCCAACCCTTTTGAATTTTCCCAAGCGTTTTTCCATGAAAATAAAATATAAAACAGGCCTCACTTAAATATCTGAATGGTATATAAAGCAAATTCTTTGCTTTTTGTAGATTTTCATTCACCTAAAATGTAATTAAATTGTAATAATATAGTTGGGAGGATTAAGAAATTCATCAGATCAGTTTTTCCCAATTTGTATCATTAATAATGGTCTGTTTTCACTCAAAATTTCAGATTATATTTAATCGTATATCTAGCATTGAAGTAACTACCTTAGCACCATTTCCTCTCATCTGAACAGTGTTACCAAGTCCCTGTAATGATGTGCGTATATATGGCAAGCAGTTTTAACATTAATTCCTATTTCTTGATATCACGATTTACTTACTGGTTATACAAATTCTAAATCTGCAAACATAAAATTGGAAGGAGGAGGGGGGGGGGGGGGGGGGGGGGGCTTGTCACCCCTCCATACCTCTCGTGCACGAGGAGAACTCATATATTCTAATATATGTACTAGGGAAGATAACTTACACGTCAGCAAGAGATCCGAACACGACGGATCCGAGCAGATAGCCTCCGAAGTATAGCGATTGGGACACCTGTGTGAGATCTTCCTTTCCACACACCAGGTCGAACTAACGGAGACAAAAAATACATTAATAATGAAATCTAAAACTTAATCTACAGAGCGATTTGTGGGGTGGGGTGGTTTATTAATGAAACATATTCCAAGACACATGGGCTAGATCTTGCTTTCGATAGACCAGGTCAAACTAGTAGCGTTAAGATATAAATTGACGATGAATTTCAATTGATCCGAAAGAGAGACAGGGACAGAGAGATGGGGAGAGACATAGATGGATAAAGAGAGAGAGAGAGAGAGAGAGAGAGAGAGAGAAGGAAGGACAGAAAGAATTCAGTATTGAAAGAGAGACACAAATATAGGGGAGGGAGCGAGGAGTTGGAAAGTGAAGACTGGGTGTTTGCGTGACTGTGTGAGAAATTTGTTTATATTTCTTTTTTACTTTGATGTTTATATATATATATATATATATATATATACAAACAAAAATATAAATACTCACGTCTGTAACTATAGAAGATTTGTACTGACTGGTATCGTAGGCCCATCCCTGGTCACACTCAATGACTGGTAGTGATCCGCTGCTGTAGTTGGATGGATCGATCCCAGGCCAGAATTCCTCTCCTGACACGTTGTATTTCTCACATTGTGCGTACTCAAGCTCACCATCTGACGTGTAGTTGGAAGGGATACTTCCTTCCTTCTGGGCTAGTGCGCAAGCTTCCTCTGAAAGTCCATACTGCTCACATCCGGGAGTCCATTCGGGGGTCTGTAGAAGGGGGATAGAGATGAAGGTATGATATGATATATCTAAAGCCTTCCGCTCACCAAAGATCTTCATGCGATCCAATTTTCGAAGTAATTACAATTATATTAGATATAGAAATCTGAACAAACATCATCTTCCTGATTTAGGTTCCCAATAATGATCAGAATGCTAACAACCGGAATATAAGTGCATTTAAACGTTATAGACATAATACATGCCGAATGGGCTTCGATTTGTAGACAATCCCGCGTGTGGCATGGCAGTTTGTTCCAAGCTTATTAGTTGTTTCTTTTCAGGAAATATTTTTCTATAGTATTCTTTCAAACTGACATAAAACTACCAAGATAGCTCACGATTACGATACCAACGGCCAAATAAAGATGATACCTCGAATCATATACCGCGTTTCAAAAACACCAAAACTATAGATATAACTTTTACAAGACAGATATTCTTTATTTATGCATTTTAAATAAATAGTGACCTCTTCGATAATGAGCTTGGCATTTTACGGAAGATGTGCCAGATTTGTAAGGGACAAAGAATCCAAACTTACCTCGCACCAGTGATCGACTGTAGCCGCCAGGAAGACTGGAATCATTGACAGCCATGAGGAGAAGAAGACGATGGTACAGGTGATGGCGAACACCCTGCGCTGGTAGGGACCAAACTCACCTAGCTCCTTGAGGAGATCGTCAAGTTTAAACATAACTGCAATAATGAGACCGGAGCTGAAACACGGGGTGCGCCTACACAGAAGTCGCCAATGATCCACTTCTGATATTTATGTTCCCTTGAGTGAAGATATTGAAGATAACTCTAATTAGTAACGTGTACGCATTATGGTTATTAGCCAATAGGCCAGTTCAGACATGTATATTTTTTCATGAATCCTTTTTCCGCTCTAGTGTCGTTGCCGTTGGTGTGACTACGGTAGGAGTGAACAAGATCACAAGTTATGCCCAAGTCACACTGAAATTATACATGGGGACTGACTGTTGGCCACAGGAGTAACGTTATTCTGTTCGATCTGGTGTCGGCCTGGTGGCGGTCTTGTCGGTGTGACTAGTCGGGTATTACTCACAAGTTAGTATTGTTATAACTGCATGTTACATTGAGATTGCTTTAGGATTTGCTTTCTGCGGTAAACCTCTGCCTGATTCTTGGGTCGCCCATTCTTCCAGAAATGTATGGCATGTGTGAATTGGTCTATCATGTAATACACTCAACCCTTGGACTTTACTCTGTGAACCAAGTCAACACATACAATTATGATTAAGATTAACCGATACTGTATCAATAAAAGCAAATTACTTTTCTTATAATTAATAATAGAGATTGATAAGAATGCAACCGTCAAAAATGCATAATGGTGAAGATATCATGATATCGTTATACGGAAATGCAATCACGTGGAGGCGAGAGGGAAGGAAAGATCCGAACACCCTATTGTTTGCTTATCCAAAGGCTTGGGAAATTAACAAAAACCATGTTCACGAATGGGGAGGGAGGGGTGCAAAATGATGTTCATTAAAAAAGTAGGATTCCTCGGAATGTTTCTTATTAGGAAAGATATATGGTGAAATATAGCGGTAAACCCTCTAGTGATTGTTTGTTTCTTACGATGTTTTTGAGCTGGGAAGAAAAAGAAACAGTGTAATATGGTAAAGTGGTTCATTCACTTAACTCTCGATCCAAGGGTTGAGGGTGCGAATCCCAGCCTGGCACTGACAACCTTTGGTAAAGCATCAATCCTCGTTTTTCACTCTCCGTCCAGGTCTAAATGGGTACCCGATATGCCAGAGCGCTACTTGGTCGCCTGTACTGACCGGGGTAATGTGAGGGGGGTGACCAACTGGCCCTTGTTCAACCTTTTAACTACAAATATGGCATACCATTCATATACAAAAACGAGTCGTATTCTCGTGCCCAACTTTCATTTGTCTTTTGTAACAATTTTTTGGTCTTTCTTATTGTGTCTTTCTCCTACAGATTCCTTGAATCGCCACTAACGGTGTGAAAAGGTGGTACGTATCTCGGTTTGTCGTTTACTTGTGAAATGCAGGAATAATCTGGAAGAAAAAAAAATCATAAATATCGACCACTTTACCGCTGAATTTACTTGTGGAATACAAAACGTCTCAATTATCTTAGAGAATGATGACAAATACAACCCCTTGATATCGGTGTCGTCGGCAACCATGATAGGGGATATAAACATATACACCCCTCTATGGTAAAACAGAATGGCATTAATTAAAATTAAAATACTTGCTTACTTCTCCAACATGTTCTCAGCCTGACTTTCATTGGTCCGGTAATTTTTGTGTTCTCTCATGTCGTCTTTAGTTCCGGGAACACAACTACTGACTGTTGCCACTACTAAAGATGTCGCATATGATTATGTATGATGTCGTATTACATTTATTTGACTCTCATTCCAAGGGTTTAGGGTTCGAATACCAACCTGGCGCATTCATCATTGGGTAAGATGTTAATTCGCATTTGCCACTCACTCTCCACCCAGGTGTAAATGGGTACCCGATATACCAGAGCACTACATATTCGGCCACTGGCTATGATCAGGGCCATGGACCAGGATAATAATGTTGAATGTAAGAGCGCCAGGAGCGTCAGGGCAGAGAGAGATACAGGGAAAGACAGGTAGACAATATAGGGAGAGAGACAGAGAAAGAGAGAGAGAGAGAGAGAGGCGAGAAGAAAAAAAACGGAGAGAGAGAGAGAGAGAGAAAGATGCTAGAAGAGGATAGAGAGAGAGATTATTATTATTTTGTATATATATATATATTTTTTTTTGGGGGGGGGGAGGGGGGGGGGGGGACGACGACGAAAAGAAAAAGAAAAAGGTAGGACTTGATTAAATATTTCCTCTATCGGTGTCCTTGTAAATTCACATTTCATCAAACTTGTTGGTCCAGCTTCTGTCCGTTTTTTTAATTTTTATTCATCTATCACATGCATCGATCCACACAAAGCGTGGTGTCTTTATTCATCTCCCGTCGCCAAAAGTACCGTCTGGACAGGAAGATGTAATATTTCTGGTCTGGGTACACATCAACATGGCAAGGTCTACTGTCAACGTTGAGGGTGTGTTATTTGATCAGTTGAGAGGGCGCGCGACACGGAAACGGTACAGCATGAGAGGAATGGCAAGGTCTACTGTCAACATATCAGCTGATTGGGTGCGCGACAGAAAAACGGTCCACACAAATAAAATTTAAAAAAAAAACGGTCCAGAGGCTTGACTACAAACTTGCAGTTATACTTAAAGCCCCCAAACCTCTCCCCCCCCCCCGCTTCCCCCGAGATGGAAGTGACTCCTTTATAGCTGAGCCCACACTCTCTTACGGTGCAGTTGTCCTGCCTGGAAATCTGGACGGAGGATGACTTTGCACGAATCCCATCACTTTTTCCATTTTGGAAAATTCTATTTCAACAAACACAAAGGAGTATACCTATAACAAGGAATAAAAGACAAAATACAATAAAAATTAAAACAAAAACCATAAGCAAATGCATGGGATCACCAAAAGAAACAACTTTCTGTGTGACGCTATTCCCATTAACTGATAATAGTATACATTAATAATTCAGTTTATATCAAGCAAACGAGATATAAGAAAGAACACGTAAATAATGCATGCATGCTTTAAGGTCATTGAGCATTAAAAAGGATAAAAAAAAGACATTTTACATTGGAATTATAGCATATAACTCCTTCATAAAACAATATATATTTTTCAAGCTTTGATTTCTAACATAAACAATTCAGAATACGAATCTTCAAACGTATTAATAATAATAATAATAGGCATTTCTATAACGCTGTCTAACTAGATAATTCTATTCCGAGGCGTATTATTTTTTAACACAAAGATTTCGTAAGCTATTAAAATATTTAATTTAGCAATTGCATACACCAATAGTGAAAGAGAAGGGAGACGGGGTCATCCTAATTCTTTCTCAGAATATGATGCAAACATCATGAGAGCTATCGCAAGAACATTTATAAACAAGGATGTGGAGTAATGTCAATACAAACAGGGTAAGGGATTTCATAACCAGTAGCGTAGTAATGGGGGCACATGCAGGCAGGACACGGCCCTTAACAAATATTAAAGGGCGAAAAAAGAAAGAAAACGAGAAGATAAGAGAGAGAGAGAGAGAGAGAGAGATAATCCCCTTATTTAATGATCTTGATTGTTTTTTCCCCCACGGGCAAACATTCTTGGGAATTGGGATCTTCACCCCCCCTCCCCCACATTTATTTTAGCGCGTAGGAATGGTTTGAACAAAATATATCCCACAGCCCCGAAGGACGATAATTATTTGTAAAATCGATTATATATATTGTGATAAAATTCATATAAGTGTCTCTTACAGTAGTGAAAATGTTTCTTTCAGATGATATAAATAATAATAATAATAATAACAATAATAATAGGCATTTCTATAGCGCCGTCTCTCTAGAAATTCTATTCCGATGCGCATTTTTTAAAAATTATTACCCCGGATTTAGCCCACCTGCCATTACAGCGCTCAAGCATTTCAAGGAATTAATTCCTGCCAGGTACCAATTTACACCTGGGTTGAGTGTGGCAAATGTAGATCAATGTCTTGCCAAAGGACATTAGTGCCACGGCGGGACTCGAACCGCGGACCTTGTTTAGAATATCCTGTAATGAGTCAATTTCGTTGGCATGTGTGCGTGTGATTTTGTATCTGTGCCCGTGTGTGTGTTAATTAGCGCAAATAAAATAACAACAACGACAAACAACAACAGCAGCAGCAAAAACGAACGAAAGTCATTTTGCATTGGATTTATAGCATATAAATCCTTCATTAAACAATATTTGATTTTTCAAGCTTTGATTTCTAACATAAAAAACGCAGAATACGAATCTTCAAACGTATTCTCTCACATGAAGATTTCGCAAGCTATTAAAATATTTACTTTAGCAATTGCAGACACCAAAAGGGAAAGAGAAGGGAGACGGGGTCATCCTAATCCTATTACAGAACATGATGCAAACATCATGAGAAATATCGCAAGAAGTTATGTAAACAAGGATGTGGAGTCATGTCAATACAAAGGGAAATGGAAACCAGTAGGTAAGAAAGGGGGCACATGCAGGCAGGGCATGGCCCTTAACCAATATTAACGAGCGAAAACAGAAAGAAAACGAGAAGATAAAGAGAGACAGAGAGAGAGATTGATTATCCCTCTATTTAAAGATCTAGATTTAAGGCGAGGGGACGGCCTGTACAAATATACCCCCACAGTCTCTAGGACGAAAATTATTTATAAAATCAATCATATATTTTTACAAAATGTATATAAGTGTCTCTTACAGTAGTGAAACTGTTTTTTCAGACACTATTAGTATACTAAAAATAAATTTAGAATATTCTGTAATGAGTCGATTTCGTTAGCATGTGCGCGTGTGATTTTGTGCCTGTGTCCATGTGTGTGTTCACGCGCAATGAAAACAAAAACAACGACAAACAACAACAGCAGCACAAACAAACGGAAGTAATACAAAAAGGAAACTCGGCACCAGATTACGATCAACACCCTTCTCCTCGGAAACCATTAAGACCAACCCCCCCCCCCTACCACCACCACCTCTCATCCATGAAACCAGGGCGCGCGCCTAATGTCTGGACCTACGCCACTCTGTATAAATAAAACCACGCGACAACATAGCATCCTACTTCTAGGTGGTTTCATTCGGGGATGCGGGAAATTAGCACCATTGATTAATTCATTGAAGAATCCGATCGCCATTCAAAAGCAGATAAGCATGAAACAACAATTGAGCGAAGATCCACTGAGAATGTGTTGATAAACTAATCTGACGTTTGCCACTAGCAGTTGACTTCGAGTTCCTTTATGTTTATGGTTTTTTTTTCCTTTTTAATATCGCAATGAAGTTCGACGACATTTTGACGACTGTTGGCGAGTTTGGAAAATATCAACACCGTCTTTACTTTATTCTTGATGTTTTCAAGTTTACGATTTCGTGGGCTGAGTTGATATATATCTTTATCGAGGCTCCCGTCAACCACTGGTGCGCGGTAAGTATCAAAACAACTTCAATTTATCAACTCTTGATGTGCAACGGGGATCTTTTTGTTTGTTTCGAGAGTTTACGAAAATATGAACGATCCTTACTTTCCAAATGTCTCTACTTCTTTAACCATTTTGGATATTTCAGAATGTTGCGTACCAAAGTCTTACGAAATCTGTCATCCTCTGTAATAATACAAAACATTGCATGTTTAATATAATTACTGCATGAAAATCATTGCCCAAAAAAGAAAAGAAACCCGACTCATATAGTTATTTACTCTTCTGTTTCCCATTTGACTAATGTAAAGTAGAAACAAGACATGGATTTCGAAACCGACACGAATTAGGTGATCTGTAAAAGAAATCTGTAAAAGTATAATTATTTTTTTTCAAATTTCAATGAACCTTCTCTTTAACATAGTGCCACTTTAAGGTACTATGTCCCATATTATGCAGACGAAAAAACTGAAAAGGTTCAATTCCAATGGCATTTGAATGTTAATATTAATTAGAAATTCCCTCAAAACGAAAGGTCTTGAAAATGTCTTTAAGTGGGAAATTTTTAATTACCATTAGTTGTCGAATTGACTTTAGCGATTGCCATTGCTAAAGTAATAGTCGGATTTTCAAAACCTTGTACCGAATAGTCGTACGTTTTGTGCTGCACAAAGATTCTATCAGTTTAGTTTTTGCCATTAGGTAGTGGGTTATTGATGTAGACAAATGCTCATGTTCCTGTTACAGCTCATTTTATGATGTTATTGCCAAAGAAAAAAAGATGTCAGTGAGTCACTCGATAGTGTCTGACAGCTAGCGAAGTTAAGAAGGTAAACGGATTTCCTTGCATAATTTGATATTAGGACACTGCTAAAGTTCACAGATAGGACATATAAGACAAATTCATAGTTCCTGCAAAGTTCTACACAACTTGATTTTGGCTGCAAAAGGGACATACATATAGTTTCAAATAAGGTAATATTTGCTGTTGTTCTTTTGTATATATCTCGTCTATCGCTAATATGATGTCTCCCATATTTTGTTATATTGCAACTGAGACCTAATTCTACAAATATATAATGAATTAATTTTTGATCAGAAGACTGTTTCGTGGTCGAAATTCATATTTATGGTGAAGACTGCAAACCCGCCATTATTGTTTTTACATGTACGTGCTATCTTCTATTGAGTTTGTGTTATATTTTCGCCATGGATGGTCTACTCTACACGTTTCAGACCTTACTTGTACGTGTTATACGAATGGAGGATGGGATTATTTTGCAAAGTCTGAATTTCTCTCTGTCTCTGTGTTTTTAGGTGATAAGCTGCGGAGTGTAGCAAATCACCTAATGAGTGTAGTCTTTCAACATTCTCTCTCTCTCTCTTTCTGTCTATATCTCGATCTATCGATATCTCACAACCACATAACTTTTCGTTGCCCTCTTCTCGTTTTGCTTTCGCCGACCACAACAAAAATTCTGGTTAGGATTAACGCTCCTTCTACTCGGTATCGTTTACACCGACCCACCAAAGCCACTGTCAAAACTCAAAACATAATATCTGGCTGGGTCATAAATCTAAACATCAAGTCCAGCCTTTTGGACTCATGGTTCTTAGTTTTCTCCATTGATACTTTATATCTCATACAATGCTCACCTGCACATGTTGTCCTCGCGATTCTCGACCGCCAACATCGTTTTTCTTGCTGCTCTGTACGATTCTACATATTTGTATAATAAATAATTGTTACTTGTGCTTTATGAACGACGTGTTATTTGGTTGTTTCTTCTTCAGCTCCTCTTATTACTATTGTTTCTATATCCTTGATTACTAAATGAGCTTGAGCATAGGCGTGTTATACCGTGTGAGTCAAAAAAGTTTACACCTGGAAAATTGCTAATTATTTTTTAAATCATATATGAACAGTACATTATTATACATCTTATGAAAGAGTGTTTTATCCCAAATCATTTGGTACCATTTTTGTGTGGTATGTGTTCACGCTTGGATAAACAGGTGACATTGTTTGCGAGAGTGCAAAATCGACTTGCGCCAAAGTGATGCCTATAGTATGTATCATGTTGGGATTAACAGAGTGAGAGAATGAATTGAATGTATCAAATGAAATGCATTGCATATGTTTTTTGCTAAGGGCAAAGTCACACACACACCCACACACACGCGCACAAATGTTTGTTGATATTTGATATTTGATATTTGATATGTGTGGCATGATCAATTTTGTTAGGGATGTTATTTGGATATTTAATACCCAAATCCCAATTGTTTTATTCAAACATCACATAAGCAACTTTGGCGCAAGTCGATTTTTGCAGTCTTGCAAACAATGTCTCCTGTTCATCCAAGCGTGAACACATACCACACAGATATGGTACCAAATGATTTGGGATAAAACACTCTTTCATAAGACAAATAACAATTTAATGTTCATCGATGATTTCTTTAAATAATTAGCAATTTTCTAGGTGTAAACTTTTTTTTGACTCACACTGTATAAGTGGAGGGTGGAATTTGTTTTAAAGACCAAATCTTCCATTGAGTTTCTACATGAGTCATGTCTCGATCAAGTGCCTAATTCGTCGCCGTGACGAATTCAATGTCTACTTTTATTTGTATTTTTGGTATTTTTGTATTTACTATTTTTGTTTAGACCCCCGAGTTGGACTCTTTCTGTGACCAACATGAAATGTCCAAGGAAGCTTGTGCACTAGCCCAGAAGGAAGGTAGCATCCCATCTAACTACACGTCAGATGGTGAGCTGGAGTACGCACAATGTAAGAAATACAACGTGTCAGGAGTGGGATTCTGGCCTGGGATTGTTCCATCCAATTACAGCAGCGAAATGATGTCATGTGACAGTGGATGGGTCTATGATGACAGCCAATACAAGACGACGACAGTGACAGATGTAAGGAATTGAATGATATCATTGTAATCGTGAATTTGCAACTTAACTCTTTATATTATACAAAAAGTTGATCCTACACTAATATGTATTAAAGTGTACGATTTGAATTGCGTCTTGCAAAATCTTGCATCTTTAAACAAAATCTTTGATCTCTTTTAAATGTGGAAATATTCCTGACCTAAATCTTTTTGAATGTTGGGATATTTACAAAGAAAAACAGGTAATCATAAGAAGTCATTGCTCTTTTGTGATATAACTTCATGGAAAATGAATAGAATCAGCAGCATCTAGTTGAAATGTATGACAATTATCAAATGTTCTTTCGGAGCACGAGTATCATGAATGTTCACAAGTCCCATTTTATTTGTTTGGTTCCATTGACCGCTCGCCTTTGCGCTACGAAGTTCACCAAGTTAATTAATGTTTTTATTTTAGATGAATACAAAATGGTATAATTATGAAATATAAATGAATACATATTAACGAGAAAATCGAGCATTGTTAGAGACTTATTTGTCGCTGAAAGAGGAAAGGGTGATTTTTGTTTTACTTCCAAAATCTTATTTCGCTCCTTTGAGATGCCTCCCTGGACAGTGTGAAGACAGACTAGAGCCTCTTATTATGATATTATTCGTAGAAGCACTGCAAAAGCTGCAGTATTTCGCAAAATGATATACAAACGAATATTTTCACCCATAACAGAAAAAAACACAATTTTCTAGTGTCCCCTCCTCCATAGCAAAGCGGTAACCCCCCTCCCTAGCTCGTCCTGATCTGATCTATTTACGCTACTACTATCCTATCCCTAAACCAGCTGACTCATCCTCTCAATGACAGTAGTGAAAATAGCCCTTAGTCATGTCATATTTTGAATCTGCCTGTATGTCCATGGTGACCGTCATTCTAAATAATCCTTCGAATCGTTCATTGTGTACTAATGTGCCAAAAATGTAAACACAGTTACGTAAGAGGCTCTGATTCCTTTTAAAGCCGCAAATATCATATTTGCCTCGTCTGTCTATATAGTATCTGCAAACGTTTGGGACTGAAAAACACAGCAAGGTCGAAATTTCACCTGAAAGTGTGCTTAAAATCCTTCAAGTGGTGATCAATTGTGGGCGATCAAACCCTTTTCAATTTAAACCGCCATTAATGTTGTGGTTTATGAGTTCCTTTTTTTCTTCTTTTCATTTTATTTATCTCCACTTCTCATAAAATAACATGTACAAATTTACATACAATATCTGATAAACACAACAAAACAAGAAAATAGTACAACAATATTTAATGAATTGATAGCCCCTAGAATAAATACTTGAGACTGTGGTGAAGCCAGCAGAGCCCATTGACCTATCAAGTGCTGGTCTTCAGGAATAAATTATATATATATAGTTAGGTACATAACATAGTTAAGCCAAGTATGTTTAGACGCCCTATTTATTTTTCTTTTTTCTCTTTCTTTCTTCGTCAATTGTTTTAGCAAAGACCAACACTTGAATCCATCATTTGGTAACTTTTGAAAACAATACACGAAAGCAGGATTAGCTTGGCGCATGAGTATTTGTATTAGAAATTATTGTACAATAATGATAAAACCAAGGAAATATTGATATTTATACCAGTGGTTCTGGAAACTGCTTCACAAGAATATTTCCTATGTAGGCTCAGCCATATGAAACATATCGTAGATGAGGATTTCTACCTTTATTATTCAAGCTAATTTGGACAATATTATCCTTTGTTGTTGTTATACCTCCTAAAGCGAACCTTTCGGAGATAAATATATATTTTTAGCATCAAAGGTATTTTTACCAATTTTCCCTTATTATCGCTAACTGCTGGCAAAGTGACAACTCATTTGTACTTTGTTCAACGGATTAAGAGTCAGATATTTGCATCTAATGTCTTTTCCGTAGACTTGAACTTTTAAAACAAACAGGTCCGCCTATATGCAAGGGTTCCTGCTAGTTTTGAGCATGTAAATATATTCGTCGGTTGCTATTTGTTGTACCTGAAAAGATTAGACCGATGTCATTGCATGTGTGGTTCATTAGATAAAGCAAGGTCCTTGTTTATTTATTTATCTATTTATTTATTTAAAATCCAGGAGAATGCAATGAAAAACAGACATCAGTATAAACAAGACAAAGAAAAGATAATGGGTATCAGCCAGTGCCTGTGGATTGCCTAGAAGGAATGAGAATCCTGTCGAGGGCTCTACTTACTGGCTAGTAAGCAAATAATTACCGTTGGTGAAAACAATTTAACTACAAAAAGAAAAGGACGTGTATGCATTAACATACAAGACACCTAGGCCCAAATTCACACCAAAAAAGTTTAAGTTTAACCCAACCCCTTGAGGGTACGGTGCGCGCATGTGTTTTATTTAATTGCGCTCAATGGTAATGCGCGCTTAATTACGCCTGTTTTAGTGCGCTTTTGGATAATCTTCAGTGACAGTGCGTTGCCCTGTGTAGATAGTACCTCTATCTTCAGTGAAAGTGCGTTGCACTTTGTAGATAGTAGTACTATCTACACAGTGTAACGAACTTTTTACTTCTCCCATCAATAATGGGCGAACTATCTTTCATCACGTGATTTACTTTTGATCAATCGTAGAGCAAGATTCTTAGTATGTGGAATATAATGCCGAACATAAACATAAGACATATAACACTGACACAAAATTAGAATTTGATTAACGATCATTAACACATTATATAATATAAGTAATAATTTGTCATTAATCAGATTATTCTAACCGAGCAAATGAAAACATATTCCAAATATAAATTTCAAATATAAATTTCAAATTCATTCACATTCTTATATTGCCAATGAAAGCATAATTTAATAATACCAAAAGTGAATGTTTATAAATAAAATTAATCAATTATAATAGAAGATTACTTGAATGATCTTAAAACTAATTTTGTTATCAAAGATATATGGCGAATTATATTAAGAAGGGGAAATTTGTTAGGTAACGAATTAGAGTACGAAAGAACACATTAAAGGAAATATACAAATTTGCGTAGTTATTCCAGGAATGTTAGAGAAGAACTATTACACAGTATCGTTTAGAAATCTTAAAATTATATCCGTATAATTCAAATCAATTTGTGCTAATTAAAAAGATAAAAAAAGAAAACAATTGCAAATAAATCAATTAAAAAAAAGAAATGCAATAGTATAAAACAACAATAGTGGTTCCAATCATCATTATCATTATTCAAACAATGGGAACAATAATAATTTGTATTGAAAAATGAAAATAACTAATCAACTTTCTCTCTTCGTTTCTCTCTCTCTCTCTTTCTTTATTCCAGTTTGATCTCGTTTGTGGCGATCATGATATGACTGAACTGTCCCAATCCATCTTCTATATAGGAATCGTAGCAGGATCCATTTTCTTTGGCATAATGTCAGACAGGTGAGTTGGTAAACAAAATAATTTCATTGCCTCAAAACCTCTCTTAATGAATGGAATTATCCAAAGCAATGGCACTACAGTTAGAGTTCTAAATGCTTTCGTCCGTTCAAGATGAAATTTACTCTTGTTATGCTTTATGAAATTGAAATATATTGGGGATTTCGTAATTAATTCGATTTTGCTTTGATGTTCAATATTTGTTTACAGTTTGAAATATTTGTTTAAATATAAATTAAAATAGCTGTTGTTTGGTATAAGTGCATAATAATATTGTTATAAGTTGTGCTAAAATACAAAGATCTATAAGGTTAAACGATTTTGATTGCGGAGGAATCTAATCCTCCCCCCCCCCCAAAAAAAAGAAGAAACCCCCCCCCCCCAAAAAAAAACAACAACAAGAAAACAAGAAAAAAAAATATATATATACACATTCGAATACTTTACGCAACATTTATATTGGTGGTTAGAAATTTGTTTTTGTTGTTTTACTTGGTCTCAATGTTCAGGTTTAGGTTAATAATGATCGGACCTTTTTCTCATTATTTTGGTGTAAAATAGCAATTTACTACTCTGTTCTATGTTCATTATTGAAGAAACAGGTATCATGTTGATACTTACAAAAATAAATTAAAAAAATCATGTTCAATATTCTTTAAAAAAATAAAAAAATACAAGTTTAATGAAACTTAGACCATGGCATATATAAACGCGGGAAGTTGTCGAGAATTATGTATGAAAAGCAAATGCCGATAACCGTTTCGCTTGATAGATAAGTTGCTTTGCTCTAGCAAAGTAAAATATGCATGGCCATACAGAGAGTGACATTTTCATCTTAACTCACCACTATAATCACCATTGTTATAATTTCCACAGAGTTGGGCGCTGGTGGGCGCTTTTTGTGAGCAACATCATCTCGCTTGTTTCGGGGCTTGCTCTTGCCTTTTCGCCAAATTGGTGCTTCTTTGCCATCATGCGTTTCTTCATGGGATTCGGCAACATCGCTCTCAACACCGTATTGTATATTATAGGTGAGAGCACTCATTCATCTAAGATAAAAACATCTTTTGCACTTTACTTTTATTAGGTGGTCTGTCGTTTTCGACAGATCACCTATTGTTTTTGTTCAAATTTTCTTTCTCATTATTTCTTTATTTTTATTTATTGTACCCTCTTTTTTGTTTACAGGATAACTCAAGATCGGTTGAGTCAATTTCGTTCAATTTTGGCGCAGTCATTGGTCCTTGTCATAAGACGTGACAGTAACATTTTCAAGGTCATGAGGTCTTCATGACGTCATCCAGGCGCCATTTTGTGTTATTTTTGGTACTTTTTACTCATGATCATATCTTCATAACGGAAAGGCATTTCTCATTCATATTTATCATGATTAAGGTCAATATCCGTCCGGTCAATTATAGGTCAGAAATCGCGCGCGCATGCGTACTTCCGCGCGTCAGCGCGCGCGCAAAAAATAAAAATGCTCAAAATCGTCTCAAATTCATTTTGCATACGTTTCAGGCCATTTTAAGCATTTTGCAAAAAAACGCGCGCACGCACATGCGCGCGCGTTTTCGCGCGTACTGGTATTTTTCAACATAGAATCGCTAAATTTTCTCTGTCATCATATTTGGCACATTTTCCCAAGCATTTTGATACCTTGTTCACCTTTTTCTGCCCATTAATAACGGAATGAGCGTCCGTTTAAGATAATGTCCGTGCGTGCGAGCTCTTGTAATACATAGCATACATGGGCAAAAATATGCCTATACAAAATCCATTGTAGCGCTTTAGGATGCAAGAAAAACCCAATTTTGTTTTCATATTTTGATAGAGTATGAATCGGAGATATGATTTCATGTCTCATTTGACCCTCAATTAACTCACGACGTCATCATAATGGCCTCCGAACTCAAAATTTCAATTTGCATATTATGACGTCAGCATATTTTTTGAAAATTTATTGTATCTCTGTAAATATTGATCAATTTTCATCCAAATTTTGATATGTTTTAACTGAGACAATTCTCTACAGATAAGTTACCACGAATTTTCGATTTGACGAAAGCATCATGGCGTATTTTTGCGATTAAAGGAGGCATGTCAATTTTTTACATTTTGCGTGTATTCTCTATGGGACATGACTTTTTCTCAAAACTGGATTCTACATTCCCGTCTTTCACGAGCAATATCTCCGTCGTCTTAACTTTGTTTTGGCTGAGCATCGAGTATGTTGTAGCTGAGACAATAAGCTATCACAAATGTGCCATTTATTTCTCGATCAGATGCCGGGATCATGCTCATATTTCACTTGCAAAGTGGGATTTGAGAATTTCATTTTCCGTTTACGTGTAATCGCTATGGGAAATGTTTTGGTATATCGGTAACGCACAATTCGACTTCGGACCTCGAGATCCCTGGTTCGAGTCCGGGAGTCTCCAACAATTTGTTTTCTTCATTTTTTTTCTTTTTTGACTTTTCAATGATCATAAAATTGAAAACAGACCACCTAATTCGTCCCCATGACGAATTAAATTTCTAGTTTGATCTGATTTTTCTTCTTGTTGTGCTATATTTATGTATTTTCATGTTTTGCACTGGTGCGCCTTGAGCATTTATTTCTAAAGTGCATTTGGCGCCTTATAAATCCTATATATTATTATCATTAGTACTATTGATATTTGTTATCGTACACATTTATTACCATGACTATTGTGACAGATATTTCACAAAAGAACTTGCTATTCCCGGATTAGGCTCTTCCCCCACCTTTCTCTCTCATATCATAATATCGCCATTTCCCTCTCAAATGGCCTGGTCTTTTCACTCTCATCCCAAGTTCCCTATTTCCTATTCCAATACCATTCCCGTAATTTCTCTGTCCTTCTTCTCCCCTTTTCCCACTCTCGCCCTTTCTGACTAATCAAATCAATTAATCATCCACTCTTTTCAACATTTGCACTCCTAGGTATTGAGTACATTGGACCATCGAAGAGGAACGTCATAATACTAGCATCGATTAGCTATGCACTCGGATACATGTTACTCACCCTACCGGCATACTACATTCGCTCCTGGCGTACCTTACAGCTAGTTATGACTGCACCTCTCTCCATCCTCTTCATCTTCTTCATGTAAGAAACTCATCAACTGTTGGATTTTTAATTTTTTTTTAATAATTTTTATTAGAGCTTAATATTAACCTTTCAATTGCCAGAAGTGCCAATTTGCACAAGCGCTTATTCGTCACGTTTGCCATGCGAACCGATATGCACAAAACAATATGCATCAATCGAAAGAAGATTTGCTTTGTGCATGGTATAAGCTTTGCACGACTGCCCAGTTCTGCTCTTAATGGTAGCTGATTGGAAACCATTTTTACATCGGCACAGAAAAATGATCAGTCACGGTTTGCGATTCTAAACCGTAGAATTTTAAAGAATAAATAGAGCCACCGGAAATTTGAAATCGGAGAATTATTGTGCTTTAACAATAAAATTACAGGATAACAAATCTAATCGTTCACGCCCTGTGCTCTGGGATTGCGTACGGTTGTGTCAGTTAATCTACTCACGCGTCGCCTTTATTTATTTATTTAGAATGTATTTAGATAAATATTTGTGATAAGTATCCTAGTATCTCTCTTTATTGAAATCCAAGATGGCTCCCAGAATCACCAAGATGGCTGATATCAATGGGGAAATACGACAAGGCGGAGAAGGTGATTGAAAAGTTTGCTGACGTCAATGAAGTGACATTGCCAAACCCTCTCTTCACTAAAGAATTTATGGAAGAACAGGTGAGAATAGACTTTTATTGAACTGCAAGTGTAAATTTTACTTTGCCTACATTATTATTTAAGTCCTTTTTAGACATCACCGTCGTATGCATTTATTTTCTTAATCTATGACCAAGACTTCAATCCTAAGTTCCTGATTCCTCTTTTTCAAGTTATTGTCATGAATTTTTTTTTAAACAAAGAGTAGCTGAAAGCTTTAAAAAATTAATACAAATGTTGATATTCTACAAAATACGTTGAATACATTATCCTTAGTGTCATTTGAGACAGAGGGATTTTTTAAAAACTGCAAGCTCGATTACAATTTCCTGAAACGTCACTTTCCCCTTTAAAACTCGCAAACTCCAGCCTAGTCTGTTATTTACATTTCTCTTTTGTTTTCCTTTGTAATTACTTTTCCAGGACCAAATACGCAGGGCACGCAAACCTACGGGCCTTGATTTAATTCGGACGCCTAGGATGAGACTACGGACTATCAACCTTGTCTGTATATGGTAAGCCACTTGGGCAGCTCATCATTCATCACTCATTAATCAATAGACCAGTTTACTAACATTTTCAAATGTTATGGATACCGTTTAAAGAAAGGTTGTTCTTGACGCCCTAATATTTTTGGAGGCTTGTCCGACAACAAGTAAAGTGTTCAGACTGGATTCCAAGTATTGTAGATCATTCATTAATAATAGGTTTAACTTTAATGGAATACCTCTTCACGAATTACTTTAAGGAAAGAAACATCTATGCATTTGAATATGTCAGAAAACCCAATTGATTGCAGTAAGCCTATATTTACATGACAGTAGAGACATCATAATTCTTTCTATTTTTTTTTTATAAATGCACTTTTAGATAGAAGACTGTTTAGTCTCGGTCAATAAATCTAAACACAGCCTATAGTACAATATGTCATAGAAAGGGAAGGTTTGACATTGGTAAATTCCGTTGTATTATCTAGAATATGCAACACTATACTTTGTCAACAATTTTATGTAAAACCAGTAGGCCTACAATACTCAAAAGGTTATAGACATTGAAATATTTCTTATTCCCTGAAATTCATCGTCTATTACAGACTTTAAGTACTATGGCACAAATTAATTTTAGTTTAAATGTTATGCGTACCATGCCATGATTTAGAAGAAAAAAAAAATTCCTTTCTTTAAAAAAAAATCAACATTCATATAACTATTACCTAAAGATCATCATTTGTTTTGTCGTTTCAAGGATCCTTTTATCACAATTAAAGAGAGGCTACTGAAGAAAATATAAAATATAGTATTCTTACATAATTATAATTATAACACCTTCTCTCTCTCTCTCTTTTTTTTTCTCTTTCCCTCTCTCATGCTATTTGTATACTTTTTCTTTCTCCTAATAAAACATTTGTATATCATAGGATGGTGAACTCACTGGTATACCACGGCCTTTCGCTCAATAGTTCAAATCTGGGTGTCGACGTCTATCTCGCTTTTGCTCTCTCGGCCGCTGTCGAAATTCCTGCCTACCTTCTGGCATTCGTCATCGTCGAGTTCTTCGGTCGCAAGCTTAGTGTCTTCGGCTGTATGATGTTGGGCGGGCTGGCTTGCGTGTCGACTGCTTTTATAGGTATGATCACGGCGGCCATGGTGCTCGTATTAATTGTGTCGAATTTTCGAAAAACAGTCAGGATGATAGTGATATTAATGATAATGATGAAAGGAATTAATAGTATAATAAATTTGACTGTTTAAATTGATTAAGGTTGATATTTTTCTTCAAAACTGTTTGTGTGATTGATTTATTATAAGCTATACATTAGTCATATGGAAACTGTTATAATGGATGGAGGGTTATTTTGGAAAGATAATTGATTTTAAAAAATCTGATAGATAAATGCGAAGCTGTCTTTTCTTCCTTATCATAATACGAAATAGTTATTCCTTTTTTCATCTACTGAGATATTCACCATAGATATGTTGTCGTTGATAACTTTGAAATTATTTAAGGTGAGTCATATGTACACAATTTTCAGTTCTCTGTATATACTTCATGTTTGAAATCTTTCTAGGTCTTGTATGTTTCAATTTTTTCTGAGTGAATACAATGTCTCCAACATTTCTCTGATAAAATCTAACCTACAGAACACGGCATTGCTTTGACGAGTGTCGCCATGATTGGAAAGTTTGGGATTTCAGCCTCATCTAACATCATCTATCTCTACACTGTCGAGCTTTACCCTACGAATATAAGGTAGATCACAATCCATCTTGAACACAAAGTATTTCTCACTAAACTTATTACTTTCTGTTTAATTTTTCATCTTTTTCATTTGTTTGTTTATCTATTTATTCATTTACTTATTAATTATTTGTGTGTAATATATCTATTTGGTTGGAGTATGGATCCACAGCAAAAACTTCATGGTCGGGCATCGAAAAAACTGTATTAAATAATTTATAACAGTTTATTGAGTTCACTTTGTACATTTCACATTTTTTTTATTTCTTGTGTTTTTATATTTTCCTTATGAATTGAAAGTTTCATCCAAATCGTAACAATAGGTCGTATGATAGCGTTTCAATTATCTGAATTTATCTATACTTCTTGAAAGAGATATATATTTCCGAATATATTTTCAAAATGATATTAAAATTTGCTACGATATGAGGGCGTCTAAAATTCGTGTACACCATTGTTTACAGGGCAGTGATATTTGTCATAAGTTGATTAAGATAGGCGAGAACCTTGATTTTATTACATATTCTAAATATCATCACAATACAATTCGTTGCGATGAACTATGTTTATGGTATTTTCTTAATCTTCTCTTTGACAGGGGGATTGCCGTTGGCAACTGTTCAATGTTCTCAAACATAGCAGGTATATTGGCCCCTCTCATCCTCATACTCAGCAAGTATTGGGATTCTCTTCCCCTCGTCATTTATGGGTCTTTTTCCGTCATCGCTGCACTGTCTGCCCTAGCCTTGCCCGAGACAAGAGGCGAGAAACTCCCCGAGACGGTTGAAGAAGTAGAACAATTTGGCTCGTAAGAATATTTTCTAAACGCTTCGTGATGTTTTTTGGTGAAGACGATCGATTAAATTCGTTACGAAGATAATTATGACAAAGTAGATATAACGTGATTTGGGAAAAACATATCGAATTTTTAGCCATATTTGAAATTAACTTGTGTCTTTATAACGATTTGTACTTGAATTTTTACGAAATTGATTCAGACTGATTGATTATAATTGGAGCACAACTGGAACATAGACCCACATGAGAACCACATTTCGGTATCGTGGGTTGTCGGACTCAGAGGCCGTCGGTTTTGCAATGGTTCTGACTAACATTATTTTGAGAAGGTTAGCTAGAGCGAAATCGTAGGTCTCGGGGGCTGAACCCAATCGGATTATAACGATAAAAATAGTAATATCGGTAATCATTTTGCTCTGCTAGAGAAAAAAATACGATTGGCCTAATTATGTAGAGATTTTTTTTAGAGAAGTATAATGGAATACGTTTTCATAATATGATAGATGCGTTGTGGTTCTCTATAAGGCTACGATAATAACCCTCGCTTTTTCCACTTCTCCTTCTCTCTCTCTCTCTCTCTTACAGAAGCTCCAAGGAAGCCAAGGAGCTCAAAGTCATGACGTCACAGCATGGACCTAACACAGTTGAGGAGAAGGACAAAGTAACAAATATATTGAACGACACATCAACTGATACCACCCATGTAAACCCTACATTTACCATAGAGGACGAACATGTAAATAATGTGAAATTTGTAAATGGAACGACTCTGGAAAATCATGTATTTACTGAGGAGGATGAGAAAAGTCAGAGGGACGGCATTGCAAATGGAGCTACCCCTAGCAATCGAGAATTCACAATACCCAGGATACTGGACGAAGATGACGAAAATGGAAACATTAAATACATCTCGGGGGAAATAGTTTATGATAACTCAACATTTACAATGGAGGATAAAAAGCAGAGTGGCATACCCTTGTGCTCAAACGGGAGTGTACCAGAAAGGGAGGAAAAGGAAACATCGCACACAGATGAAGGATAGAACATGAGAGAGATGAAAGACATGGAAAGAAAGGAATGGGGAGAGAGAGGTGTGAGAGAGAGAGAGAGAGAGAGAGAGAGGGAGAGAGAGAGAGAGTGATAGAGAAAGAGGGGGAGAAGTTGAACAAGAGCAATTACCATCAATGTCCTCTTGTCCCATAATATATTCGATTCATTATGTTCTTAAACTTTAACTTAGTATATAAAAAGGAATTATAAATTGTAGATCTTCACAATTAGACCGTCCTAGAAAACATAATTAAATGTTATGATATGGATTGATAGTGTCGAAGAAGAACGAAATATATTATTGATTTTTGTCTGATTCATATCATAAATTTGTAGTTATTTTTTATTTATTTCTTTTACAGAATATGCTACTAAGTAGTCAATTACAAAAAGATTAAAACTAATTTGGAAAAACAAATAATTCTCGGAACATAAAATCGTTAATGTAATGTCAGATCATTAGAAGCTTAATCAGAAATGGCATATTTCTTGCTTTGAATACGGTCATTGTCATTATTGAATGCTACTTTTTATCGTGCTCAGTTTAGTTCATGCATTTTTGTTCATTATTAAACTTTGACCACAATCCAAATTGTTCACATGTAAAGCGTTTTAACTGACGACCCAATCCGAAAAAAATGTTTAATTGATATGTAATGCTTTGATATCTTTCAGATGATTCACAGCAAATCTTGGACATGTGCAACTGAAATAGCTCATATGCCCATATACCATGTTTTGTATTTGACATATTCATCCTTGTTCTGCCATGAAAAATTGCAACATGTGATTTAAATGCTGACTCAGAAGAAAAAATATGTTGTCACTTGATTTCTTTTTGTCTTATCTCTGTTATGTTTTTGGGTCGTCATGCTAGCAGTTATATACATGGCACTGTTTTTTTGACTTATACCAAATGTGTCCACAAATGGGTCCAAAATGAAATTGTGTTTACTCACTTCAAACTTGTATTTTTAGGATCAGGACTAATCATATTTTTGAGAAATGCAAATTCTGGACCTTAATCTATCTCCTTATTTATTCACCAGATATGAATACTTTGAGTTTTTACAATTTTATTGTGAACTATAGCATATCTAATAACTGTGATATAAAACTCATTTGCTATTAACTACACCTTTAAATATGTTGGGTCTATAAGAATATGTTTCAGAGATTATTCATGCAAATTGTTGAGTTTCTATCTTGAAAAATACAGATTTTGTATCCCTTGAAAGTGACAAATAGCTCTAAATTAGGGTTTTGACAATAACAAGTTTTTATTTCAATAGGTAAAATGCTTTTTTCTTAAGTCAAACTTATTTTATTATAACAACTGATGATATAAGGTAAATACAGGCAAAAAAAAATGGGAACCAGTGCATTGCCTAATAATGTTCATATGGCACACCACTGATGTTTCGGACGTTACACACCGTTAACATTATAACTTTATTCAAGTTAATTGCTTTTCTTTAGGTATTATTGACCTCAGTTACATTAATTGTTTGCAGAAAAATACTTCTGTAACATTTTGGAAAAAAATTATGCAGTTTGTATTAGTTTAGCACATACATGTATACCAAGTTTGTCTTCATCGACCACTTAATTTATGTAAGGTATATTATTCATTTCAAGAACGTGTACTGGTAGTTAAATATGCTTATGTGATCTAACAGAGTGAAATATGAAGCTAATAGCAATTGTAGTCATCAAAACTCCTTAGAAAATTCACTTAGAAACATACTCTTTATTGCATGTTATGAACAACAGTGTGAAATGTATACTATGGTTTGTTTCGGATGTTACACGATGTTAACATTTCAATGAGATCATCAATTTCTACAAGCTCTACAATATAGATGTTTAATCAGCTTGCTGATGTTCTTTGCCTTCAACTATATAGTGTGTCATTCAATAATATCACTAACACATACATGTATGTAAGCAAAACATTGACAAATCTTTTAAAAAATAAAATTATAAAACAGTACCCCCAGTCATGTAAGTACGGTTATAAGAAATAGGTGAATCCTAATGTATGCACATCTCGAGAATGAGACATTTTTGATGTATTTTAAAATTGTGTATGTTTTAGGTTATAATACTACTGTAGTAACAATCATCCTTTACCACTATTTGTATTAGGAGGCTGTTTCAAACGACAATATGTTTTAATGCTCTTAAATAAGTATTTATTTATTTATTTAATTGATGACTGATTAATGAATGGATGGATTGATTGGTCTGTTGGTTGGTTGATAGATCTGAACTCTTGATGTGCCTATATTACAGGTGACAAACAATATACAGTGTAGGTTAAACATGTACCGTATTTGCCGGCGATAAGGCCGCAGCGCCGCACCCCCAACTTTGACATTTCGTACACAGTAAAAACGCTGTTTAAAAAAGTGATGTTCACTTACAGTTGTACACTATCTTAAACAACAGTTGAACAAATTGTAAACAATGTTGCTCGAAACGAAAGTAATTTTGTTAAACATTCGTTGTTTAAAATTTAATGACTGCTATATTTACTATACGAGAGCTTTTAGACAGTGTTGTTTACATATGACGTCATGTGTCTCGTGCCAGTAAAGTGCGCGCTGGCTAAAAGCTTTATTTCACATTGTTATGTTTAGAAACAGGTTCCTTGAAACTAACATGCAATTGAAATTAACATGCCACTTAGAAATGCAGTGCTGCTGTTCAGGCACAGCTCATTGTTATTCATATTAGATGCATACACACAATGCAAGTATATGCAAGGGTCTTCTGTTGACTACACAGATTGATACATATGTAAAAGCACATGGACATTGAGTCTGGATTAAACTACCAAAGCAACCACACGTGTTTCTGCAGGCTCCATATTGTTTGTCTCTATACTTACATTTATTTAGCTTAATAGTTTTTACTTTCCAACCCACAACACAACACACATCATGGCCGACCAAGCTACCGACGCGCTTCTAAGTGACTGGGGATTCAATGTCTTAATTGAAATCACTTTTCTATTAACCAATTTGAAGTTTTTAACTTATAGCGTAAGTTCACAGTTACAATTTTCAGTATCTGTACGCAAATGTCAGAATAAAGGTAGACTTAAAATCGTCGCGTCATGCAGTGCGGCACTGATCGCGCACTCGTTTATAACGTGTGCTAAATTCCTTGCCATAGATTGCATGTATCCCTATATATGCAGTTTATACGTGCGTGCATGCGCGCTCATGCAAAATGGGCACTGTTTTGGCGCTAATTCATGAATTGCAGAATTACCCTACCATATTGTAGTCTTGTAGTCTTCATATACCTATATAGAGACCCAGAAGTAGTGGTGCACTTATTCAGAGTATCAAACCCAAATTATACCCCATTATACAACCCTTTTGTTGTAAACAGCCCCCACTGAACAACAGCTCCTTTTTAAACAACTTTCTTTAAACAACCCAGTTGGTGTAAACAACCCCCACTGAACAACAGCTCCTTTTTAAACAACTTTCTTTAAACAACCCAGTTGGTGTAAACAATCCCCACTGAACAACAGCTCCTTTTTAAACAACTTTCTTTAAACAACCCAGTTGGTGTAAACAACCCCCACTGAACAACAGCTCCTTTTTAAACAACTTTCTTTAAACAACCCAGTTGGTGTAAACAACCCCCACTGAACAACAGCTCCTTTTTAAACAACTTTCTTTAAACAACCCAGTTGGTGTAAACAATCCCCACTGAACAACAGCTCCTTTTTAAACAACCGTCTTTAAACAACACCAGTTGTTTAAATTGTAATTTTAAACAAGTTGTTCAAAATGTTGATCAACTAAGTGTTTAAACTTTAAACAACTCGAGTTGCTTAACATTTTAAACAACTCTTAGATCAGGTCACCCGTTAATCAAGAGTTGTTTAAACTTTTAAACAACTTGTTCACAAAAATTTTAACTGTGTAGAGGAAAAAAAAACAAAAACGGACAGCCCATTTATATTTCACACTCGTGTAGGGTTGCGGTTCTAACAGATAATTACTAGCACTCTTAACACAGAGGCAGCCCAGCAGACATGTTGTAGGATTGATAACTACTAGCTAACTGACCAGGTTTTAATGTGTAAAAGCATTACAGCATTCTATGTAGCATTCCACATACATTCCATGCAAAGTAGAATAAATCAATAAATATTCATATAGTCCCATACAAGTATAAATCAACATCACAAAGTATTCTTGAATATTCAAACATAAACAAAGGGTATATATTGAATATTCATAGTATATGTAAATTATACTATATAAGCTTGACTGCATCAGGTGAACATTGAAACCAATGAGAGAGAGAGAGAGAGAGAGATAGACAGGAAAGGATGGTGGATGAAAAGGGTGAATGTGAATGAGGAATGACCTATATGAAAGGGATGAATCATGGATAAGAAGGGGAGTTTCAGAAGTTCAAAATAAATCCCTACACTTTAGCTTATACATTTTGTATGTATGCATACATTTGAGGAAGATACTACATGTATAATTATGTTTAGGATCATTAAATAAGTTATTACTGGTAATGCCCTTTTCTTTTATACATGTTTGTACTTTCTACACAGATTAGTTACGTGTACCGAGTGCCCTTTTTAAAAGGTATTTTCAAATGAAAATCCATATTTCCCATAAATTTTTAGAAAAACATTTCAATTTGCTTGATTTTATCAACTCTATATACCTGTATCATACCCGTGTCATGTACATGTACACTGGGTATTGCTTAAATTAAGTGGGTGATTTTGAGCTTTTGTAACATACCAAATAGTTTAGATTGACCATACAATCTTCGGTTAATTGACATAATTTGGAACAACCTCTGTAAAAGTGAAAATGTGTAGATTTGCAAACACACAGCAATGTAAATAGCAAGAGGAGAGGTTGAACAATTTAAATTTGCTATTCTCACATCTATCTTTGCCCCTCATTTGAACTAGTTAAAGTATGAAAATGTCTGTTAACA